CAGAAGTTTGAACGCCACAGCCATACCCGATTGCTAATCCCATCCTGCACATACATGACTTCGCCTCAGGGTTGCAGGGCATTCGCATCTTTTAAAAAATAGATCTAACGAAGGCTTATCAGATACCCATAGCCCCGGAGGACATCTCAAAGACCGCTGTAACCACTCCCTTTGGTCTTTTCGAATATGTCAAGATGCCCTTTGGCCTGAGGAACACAGCACAAACTTTTCAAGGACAAGGTACTGCGTGGCCTAACGTATGCATATGCCCACATCAATGACATCCTAGTAGCCAGCACGGATGAGAACGTTCACAAGCAACACCTAAACAAAGTTTTCCAAATGATAGCACATTATGGACTCTGGATGAACATCGACAAATGCGCTTTCAGGGTATCTGAGGTGAATTTCTTGGTCATCATATCAACGCAAATGGGTCACACCGTTACCACAAACCGCCTACATATGTGATAGTCCTTCTAAGGACTACCAAACCACATTTGTATGTGACCGCCCTCTTAAAGATGAACAGGTGACCTCAGCACTGCCTGCTACAATCCTCTCTCTTCGTGAATGCTGACGTGGTCCTCTTACGGGTGAACATCCAAGAATCTATCTGGACCTTCGATACAGCATTTTCCATCTGGAACCTGCTTCTGAGCTGCCAGCCAAACCAAAACAAACGATCCTTTGGATGGCACTCCCTGATTCCACGTCTGAACAACTCCAAATTTCCTGTACATACTTTTGCCAAATTAATAAATAAAATTTGGCTTAAAATTTTTAAATCCTCACCTTTGTTGTCCTTGCTTCGATCATATTACCCTATGTGATTTTTCTGCTTGCGGGGGTTAACAGCACCTGCTTGACACCCCGCAACAGTTTCCCGGGTACAGTCCTGGAGGAAAGCAATAACTTGCCTTATAAAACAATAGTGACACAATCCTATCAATATTTAACAAGTATGCAACAGGCCTCATTGAACAATTGGATTACCTCACCATAATTGAACTATTGTTACTAGTTCATCTACCATTATTAACTGTATCATGGTTGAATATAATTGCTTATTGAATGTGCATCTCTAGCAGAATAATAAAGTAACATAGTTTCTATTTGCAATGTGTATAACCATGTATTAAGGTTTAAATTATTCAGTATCATACTGATCATAATGGTTGGTGTGTGTAGGCATTTAATGTCTGTCTATAATGCAAATTGTGATCCCAATTAGGCCTCCTTGGTTACAGGAAATTCCACACAATGAAACTCAGCTGTAACTACCAAGCTTGTCAAGTTAACAACTGCACACATTTCTATCATCTGTGCAATAAATTTTGAAAGTCTCTTGCTAGCTTCAAGGGCCATTGTCAGTCCCATGACTGTAAATATGGGTACGTGATGGTCATACACATTTAATGGGCTGGCAACCACCATACAGGAATTAATGAAAATAGCTGGTGTTGTAATGTTTAAATATTTCAAAATTGTATGTAAGCAAAATAAAAGCCTTAGTTAACATTGATAATTTAGTTAAAATTGCTCAGTGAATAGTTTTAAAACATCTTGCATAATGTGTATTGTTTCTTTCAGCAGATATGATGAAAGTTAATCTTTCTATATTTGTTCAACTTCTATTGTAAATTAGTGCAATTTTTAAATCTAAAAAAAAATCTTTAAAATCCAAAGAGTTAGCCTCAACCTCTACTCCATCATGTTTGCCATAACACAAACACATTTCTCTCCGAATGGCTCTTTGTGCTATGATGATTTATTTTACTGACCTTTTATCACCTGTCCTTGCTGTTTTTTTTAAGCATATTCCAGGTGTTGATCAGGAGATGATCAGTATTAATCTTCTCTCTGAGCCAATCTTGAGCTGTTGGGGTGAGACTAGTTTAACTTGTCTGTCATAGGTTTCATAAAAAAACTCCCTTAAAAATTTCACTCTCAATAGAACCTGTCTTCTCACCTATCAATTTTTTTTTTATTTCTTTTATATGAAATAATGATCATAAAACCTGAACAGCAGTTACTACAAAAATAAAACAATAAGTGGCAATTGATAAATTCATTAAATGTTTGTTCTATTTCATGATTTTTATCTAATGCATGTACCAATTTAATTGTTTAGAAGTGTTTTATGTATTTTTATTTTATCTGTATGCTAATACCACTATAAAAGTGGAATATCAACTCCTGACCAAATACAACCACTTTTTACAACTAGTTTAGTTTTTAAAAAAAACAAAAAAAAAAACAGCATTATGGAAAAGGCTGTAAATTAGTAAAAAAAAAAAAATTTATTAAAAGGAAAGAAAAAAAAAATCTTAGCTTTGAATTGTAAAAATAAAACCAAGACAATTAAAAAAAGCTTTTATGAATAATATAAAGACACTATTGTCAGAAGCTGATATTTTTCCAATGAAAAATTAATTTCTACAAGAAATGTTTTTTTTTTTTTTTTTTTTTTTTTTTAATGCAAAATTTGTTAAATATTTTAAAATTAAGTTTGAATGAGTGTATTTTTCAAAATGCTGTTATTAAAAAGATCTATTTTTATAGATCATAAACTCAAAAGCTTATTACATTCTGCAACACCATATTTTTTAACAAAATTGTTCCAAACCTCAGTTTCTATCCCTAAAATTGAATCTAAAGAAGAAAGTAATAATAATTGGCAGTAAATGAAATTAAAATATTTAGTGAAATGGGATGTAAAAAAAAAAAAAAGAAAATTAAAAATTTTGAAAATGCAGAGATGGTCAATCAGAACTTGATACATGTGAGCCAGAAGGAAAGCAAAGCAATTTCTTAAGGCGTTTCTCATAAAACACGTGACCTATTTCTGAACAGTGCATCCCTAGTTTTGGAGAAAAATATTTATAATACACTTTTTGCATATTAAATAATTTAAAAAAAATATTATGGTGTAAATTGTGATGGACAGCAATTTGATCTCCTGCATGGATAAAATTTTCAGTGTTTTTGTAATGTAAGCAATAAAGTTTGTTTATCAATTTCATTGTATTAGTATGTAATTTCAAATGTTATTTACTGTCAACATACTTTAGGTTCACACACGTGTACGTATATATATATATATATATATATATATATATATATATATATATATATATATATAAAAAAAAAAAAAAAAGTGGTACAATTGAATATGATCCATCTGATTTTCCAGGAATGCTGTTTTACTTTATGTTCATTTGGCTGCTTGACGCCTGCATCTTTGGGTGGTTCATATATTGATCCACTTTCTCAATAGTGTTGAAGATATTACATGTATAATTTGACCTATTTCTCTGGGATATGCTTTTATATTGTGGAATTTTCTGTTTCCCCCTCCAGTATAGTGACATTCTTCATTAGAAAACTGCTGAGAGCTTGGTTTGTTAGCATTGCATTGTTTGGCAACTGCTTGAGCTGGCCTGGCTGCAATGTTGTGATTGAGCATGTTTTAGTGTTTACCCATCCCTAACGATAGTATAGTTCCTTTAAGCATTAGCAAGCTTGGTCAATAGTTAGGCAAGAGATGACTTGGGAACACTCGGGTAAGTAACCTTCTACAACCTGAAATGTGTTTTGGTTTTGAATAAATCACAAAGGGTTGATAAATGATAAAAAAAAAATTAGATGTGGTAGACTTAGCAGAAAGTAGCAGGTTAAAGGCTGTGTGCTTTAGAAGTCAGCCTAATGTAAGGATGTAGTTTTTTTTTGTTTTTTTTTTTTCCCTGGAATCTCCCAATTGATTAAATAAGCGTCCTGCAATTATCTTTTACTATTAAGCAGCCATACACTTTGAAATATAAAAATTCAACTAACTCAGATGAAATCTTTGATAATGAGATGCAGATTGAAAAAAGTTAGATATTGTGACAGATGTTGAGTTTTGAACTTTCATGTGTTTCAAATATTCAGTTCCAGGTTCATATTCAAGAGACATGAAAATGTGTAATAAAGAAAAACCTAGACAAGAAAGTGGTATGGCTTTATTTATTGATTTAAGTGTGGGCAATCACATTATGCCCAAGTATGTGCATGTAAGTACATATTTTAGAGCATTAAAATTATCCTAAAAGAATAAGAGGTTTTACAAAGTAAATTAGGAAAGTTTCTGGTAAATCTATAAGTTTAACTAATATTTATAAGTAGAGTAAGCCTCTTGATTTCTAAAGGACAAAAAGAAAAATTGCTTGTTATTTTGGTCTTTATTTATTAAAAAGGTAGCATAACTTTAGAATGACGAGAATAGAGTAATTAATTAAAATTAATTTACTTACCAAAAATAAGTCTGGTTAATTAGAATTAAAGGATTACCTTTCTTGAACACTTGAGGTTTCCAAAACAGGCAGCAGTAAAAGCTTCTGCATTTGTATTAAAAACAATAGTCCTGAGGCTAGCATTATGTGTATGCTGCTGGTTTAATACAGGAAAAAATAACATTTTGCACTGTTTGAGTTTCCCAAACAAAACATTTCAGACTGAATTATAGGCATAACAACTTACATCAGTATGTTTTTCCCAACCCAGCCTGAAAAATGAACCAATCTCAAAATTTAAGATTTGTGGGGGAAAGGCAATGCATAGATAAAGCCTGAGGTCGGTTGAAATTAGTCAAGGCATGTTAAAAAAAACAAAACATGGATTCCTGACATGTTGTTTATAGAACACTCAGCATATATAATTAAATTGTGTTCATCACTATTTTGGAGATTGCATATCTAGTAGATTTTTTTTGTCTTTGAGGGGGCAGAGGTTGAAAAACAGGTGAGTTATAGGTAATAAATAAATACATTGTGTGAAGAGGAGGGGAGGAAGAGCCCAGTGCATCTCTTAGGGTAGAGTTGTAGTCAAATAGTTTAGATGGAAGAAAAACTAGCATATTGAACAATAGACTATTCCTAAATAAGATTGATTCAGTTAGCAAAAGGCAACTGACACCAGCCCATCACCACATTCGTCCTTCAAAAAAAAAAAAAAAAAGTTTATGGATCTCCTCTCACTTCATGCCACCATTTCTGCACAGTTGCTCGGTTTTCCCATATTAATTTCTTTCCATATGTTGCATACCAACTGGAAATAATAAAAGAAATGCAATATTGAACAACATTTAGAATGAAAGCAAAGATTACAATTGGTAGATATATTGTTTAGTCTACACCTTTTCTGTACCAAGTGATTTTTAATTGGATCTTTCTTTCAAACCTGCTTGGCATATAAAAAAAGGTACAATCTAAATTGCCATTCTGTTTTGTGCAGATTGTAATAAGCAAATAGATGAGGTCAAGACAAAATCAAGTGAAGAATTCCAAATGCTAGATACAAGAGCCAAAATGTAAAGGAAACTGATGAACTACAAAAGATTTTAGGAGTTTTGACTTTTCTGAACTGGGATTGAATTTTCATTATTCCATAGTTTGTCTTCCCTCTCTCTTACACTCCCCCCCCCTTTCATTTTGCCAGATACATCTGATAAAAGCTAAAGAATTTAGAAGGGTGCTTTTATCTGAGAGACAAAACACACACATCTGGTTGAAAGTGGTATTATATCTCACTATGTGAGTTGAATTCAGGAAAACTATAATAGTTATTGTTTTGATAGTCAGGATCACTTATTTGTGTGTGATGTTCAGAGAACGTAACAAAGAATATCTTGTCATTCTCTTTCTCTCAGACACACATATAAAAGAAGAGATATTGTTATTCTTAAGAGAATAAAATTTTGATGACATTTAATTTTATTGTCAGATAAATAGAAGAAAATAAAGTTTTAATTTCTACTACAGTTACTCTTAAAATTAATTATTCAACATCATTTCTACCTCTGGCTCCAAACAGTATGCATTCAGTCTTTCTGAGGCTAGATGGCAAAACCCTTAATTTCTACTTGTCATTGATATTAGGTCACAGTTCATTAATCAAATACAAGAATGGATGGCAAAACACTTACAGTCCAAACATCATTCCACCTAAATGTGCAGCATGGTCAAAGAATTTCCAGCCAGCCAATATACCAATAATATCTGTTGCAATAATTACTTTTAAAACCTGAAAGAAAAAAAAGCTATAAAATAGATTTCAAGAAAATTTAAGAAGAAAAGGTACTTTACTCTACAAATTAAGTACATTATTTTATTAAGTTGATACAAACATTTTACTAACAAAAAGTGTTTTTGAGTTTTTCTATTATCAGAGGAAAACGAGTTTCATTTAAACTGAAATGAATATCAGTATTTAAAGATTTTGTTTCCTCTTGCTAAACATACAAGAAAAAAAAAAGGTAAGGTGACATTCAGATAGGAAATAGAACTTCATTTAGTGTAACAATTCAAAACAGACAATCACAAATACAGTCAAGATGGTCAGCCTGCCAGCATTTCAACTTAATAGAAACTACTTTGGGAAGATGTCATCATCCAGGTTTAGTTGGATTCAAAAAGAATTTTTTTATTATGAATTGAACTGGACAAACTGTCCATGTTTACAGTAAGCAATTAGTTTGTTTGGTCTACACACATTGGAAGACCATTTTGTGGGGTAAAGAGGTCAGCTAGTGATTTTGCTGGATATGTACTTAGTGTTGCAAATACAATACAGAAGTTGAACAGTTGTAATAAACAATATTTTGTTTTTAAATTACATGCATATTTTTTTAAATACTTACAGCAATATTTAAAAGTGTTTGTTTTTTTTTTACTGGAAGACAATAATGAACTTTTACAATAATCTGAAGCATATAAACAGTTAATTTAATTAAAAAAAAATCACTTGAGTGTATCGAGACACATTATATATAAGCCTGCATTTAAAAAAGTTGAAATTTGTGTATTTTTTTCTTTCTTTATCAATTGAAGATGTAAAAACATTTTTGGCAAAGGCTTTTTCCCCCAGAAGAAAAAAAATCAGCAATTAACCATTATGTTAGTCAATATGTTAAAACTTATTTTCATGTGTAATTTGTGCTACTGTAAATGCTATGAAATTGTTTTTGACAGAAATTGTGGCAAGAGAGATGAAGCATCACTAGTTGGTCTTTATCCAAAAGAGATATTGGGTTTGGGAAAGCAGTCCTTTTGAACAGAGAACCAAATGATGGATTTGTATTGCTTCAATTTAGACCAATCAATGAAAAGTATGTGTAATTAATATAAGGTGTGTAATAATACATCAGAATAATACCATTCACATGCTTGGTTGGGAGGTTTCTATTTATCTTCTATTTATCTTCTATTTATCTATTTTATTTCTATTTATCTTCTATTTATCTATTTTATTTCTATTTATCTTCTATTTATCTATTTTATTTCTATTTATCTTCTATTTATCTATTTTATTTCTATTTATCTTCTATTTATCTATTTTATTTCTATTTATCTTCTATTTATCTATTTTATTTCTATTTATCTTCTATTTATCTATTTTATTTCTATTTATCTTCTATTTATCTATTTTATTTCTATTTATCTTCTATTTATCTATTTTATTTCTATTTATCTATTTTATTTCTATTTATCTTCTATTTATCTATTTTATTTCTATTTATCTTCTATTTATCTATTTTATTTCTATTTATCTGCCAAATTTAGTAAAACCTGTACATCCAGATTATCATTGATTTCAGACTTTACTGAATTCTTTTAATGAAAAGAATTTCGGTTTGATGGAAGAATTTTTTGCCAAGAAAGTTAATTTTTTTTTAAATGAAGTTTCCTGAAAGATGGCATTCAATAATGAAAAAAAAAACTGTAAACTTGTTCAATAAAATTTATATTGAAAAAAAAAAAAAAAAAAAAATCTTGTCTATTTAATAAGCTAATTGTAATTTTTTTTGTTCATCCAATATCTTTAATAAGTTAAACTTTTGAGCATTAGTTATAAATAGGGCAGGGGGTTCTTTTTGAGCAACATTGATTCCTACTTGCAAAGACCATGTGGTACACAAGTCAAATTATGTGATAAATACTACAATTATTAAAGTCTGGATTTACTGAAATGTTTTTAAAAAGGCTGTCTACCAACTACCGCTAAGTATTCTTTCAAGCGTTAATTAACCTTTGTATAAGACTATAGTAAGCTTCATAAATATAAAAACAGCTCTCTTGTAGGAGAAAGAAAATAAAAAAAAAAATGACATTGGACAGGTGAGATCTGTTATTTCTTATTCTCACCCAACACCACCATTTTAAAAACTATTAACTGACCGTTGAACACTTAAACTGATCAATGACAAGATTTTTTTCATTGATGTCCGTGCAGTAAAAGAATTCCTTTCCATTTGCAAAAGCTATCGAGGAAACTAGATGAAAAGATTAAGGCTCACTGGCTTTGTTATAGATTAGTGGTTCCCAAATTTTTTCTCTAGACCACATTTCTGGAATTCAAATTTGTTTGTACCTCAACAAATCTTGTGATAAAAAGTACATTTGGACCCCCCCCCCCACAAAAAAAAACCACACCCACAGAGAAGGTTAAAGGGAAATAACCACGGATTTAAAGTCAGAACATTATCATTGATAACTCTCTCCTCCAATTTGCAGACCTTAGTTACTATATTCTTAATATTTGATATAATGCAAAAATATCACAATCATAAAATCAGTCAATAAATATTTATAACTATTTATACTGAGACTAATGCATACAATTACAAGTAATCCATAATATTTTGGATTTTGAAATCATTTATTTTTTGCATATGAACTTGAATTATTTCTAAATCTTTGGTTGTCTTTCAATCATTCCGCCTCACCTGCTATCCTTTTCTGGTACACTGCACTGTTTGGGAACTACTGTTATAGATTGTGTCACTGCTAAAATGTTTTAGCAGTGGGGGGGGACTTGTGTTGTTGCTAAATTATTTCCAATAAATCAATTTTTTTTTTTTTTTTTGACATTGGATGTAATCTTGAAAATTACATTTGCATTTTAATGACATCTAATTAGTCAGTCCATGTTTCTCAGTATAAAAAAAAGTGATTGGATAAAACTGATAGCTTCTACTTCAAAAATAGATATAAATAATTACTTACACTATCTGCAGAGAAAGAATGTGGTATAATATCTCCAATGAATGCTATAGATAATCTAGCATTTGGGTAATTCAGGCAGACAGCACCCAAAACAGCCATTATAGCACCAGACTGGAAGAAGAAGAGAGGGAAAAAAGGCAGAGTTTAACTTTAATTGAATTCTGACATTTAAGTATTTTGACTTTAATTAAATCTGATATTTTTATTTTTGTTAGTTTCTTTAACTCATCTTCATCTTGTTTAGTGGAAAATAAGATGGTAGATGAGGCAATTTTTTTTTTAATAAATAAACTATAAATTTTTACACATTTTTTTGAAATGCAATATGTACTATGCATTTTAGTTTTTTGAAATGCTATAGTTCATAAATTTACAACAGAGATTTTTTTCTTTTTCGAGTTGGGGGATGTGATATTGAACTTGAATGCATGTAAACAAAGGTAGAAAGACAAATGAAAAAGATATTTAAAATGTCCCAACAGTAGTTCAAAACCAACTGGAATCAGATCCCCACCCTTGGTGAATGTACTAACATTCCAACAGATAATCTGATGGAAATGTTGACGCTCTGTATACAGACAATATTCTTCAAACTAGAGTCAGGCATATACCAACAGGAAGAAAGTTTGGCTATGAGTTCACCATTGTCACCAGTAATGGCAAACATATACATAGTATACTTTGAGGAAACAAATGCTTCTGGATCATATGAACTCAAGACTTTTGACCCAGTTCCCAATGGAAGAAAAAAAAAAATCAGCTAAACTTCCTGGATGTACTAATAACTTGCACAGAGAATAGATTCAAGACATCTAGATCTCAGAAGCCAACCTACACTGAACAATACCTCAATTCCCACCATCCATACATCAAAGTAAAGGATCATCTGATGCCTACAACACTGCAAATCTAAGTGATGACCCAGACACATACCAACAGGAAATTATTAGCATGAAGCATACTCTTCAGAATAACAACTACCCTGCAGACATGACACCTGTATTTGCAGGTGGAAACAGAAGGGTTAAGGAGGTGGACCAAAAAATTGATATGGTCTGTCTGCCTTACATCAAGGTTTTATCAGAAAAGATTCAGAAGATCTGCAGTCCATACATCATCAGGACAATATTTAGAAGCAGCTCCACTCTATGGAGAAATCTTAACATGACCAAAAACTCTGTGTATTCCATTCCTTGCAATTGGGGCAAAGAATATAATTGGGGTGTAACAAAATAAAATTAGGGCTGGAGGAACATGAAAAAGCCTTAATGAAGAGAAAGACAATGAAATCTCAGTCATCATCACCTGAAGTGAAAATACTGGACAAGGAAGAATACTGGAGAGTTAGATGTCTGAAAGAAGCAGCACATATGCTAGGCTATGATGGCCTCTTTAGTGGGTCTAGAATAGAAATACAACATGGGAGTTGTTAATAAAGAAAAGTCTTCAACAGCAGCTTCAGTGAGTGGAGAGTCAAGCAGAACAAGTAGTAGCAGCATTCATCATCAAGCAGATTTAGGTTTAAGGTTCCAAGTTCTTCACACAGAAATGTCTCATGAGTGGATTAAAGCATTGGTTTATGAATTTGATGACAGTACTTGGACTCAGTGGAAACTGGGTGAGCAATAACTGAACAGTACTGGAAATAAGAACAAGATGAGATATCCTTAGACATGGGCAATGTAATGAGAATAGTCTACCCTCATAGATCAAATGAAGGGTTCTGTTCAAAATTCCCTGTAGGTTACCCTGATTGACATACAGCTGTTGACGGTCCAGGGCACAATGGGCAAAACGTTGTGATAGCAACAACAAAGATGAGGACAATGGGCCACATGTAAGTAATGATAATTCCCCATCTTAGAAATTCAGACAGATATTTAAGGCAGACAAAAAGGAAAAAGTGTCTTGCTTTAGATTTCAAGGGCATAGATTAAGGGAACTTCATCAACAGATCTTTAAAGAATTGAAAAATATATCAGCAACTGATTATTATTTTTTTTTTTTTTTTGTACAACAGTTCCTCTCTCGTCGTCTTATTCCACTGCCAAGAAAGCATTTTCTTAACAGAGTTTATTTTTATTTAATAATTTTTTTAAAATCATCACAAATACTGCCATAGAACTGAGAAATTTTAAAACGGGAAGATTTATGACGAGAAAAGATAACTAAATTTTTATAAACCCTAATATTTTTGGGGTCATTTGACCTGGTTACTAACTTTTGTAACAATCTTAGAAAGTGTGTTTAGACAATGGCAACTTTTCTGTTGTCCAAAAGGCGACATTTTCTCTTTTGTTAATGTTTACAATGTAGAACTTTGAGTGCATTTTGATTATCTTGTAAGTACCCTTGTAACTAAGCTGGATGTTTAGCTACTGTGTCAGAAACCAACATGTAAGTGCAGTCTTTAATTAGTTGGAGAAACATTAATTAGATTTTCTGATTTTTTTGTTAGGAGTTGTGACATCTTTGTCTGAAGATGATCCATAAACAAGGCAGGTTCTGAAAAAGATCTTTAATGACCAATTGTCTGGACAGTCATAAAATCATCCCAGAAGATAATTCTGTTGAACATCAACAGGCACAAACCTAATGGTACCAGATGTTTGGTTTCAAAGTGTAAAAAAAGCAGTGAATTTTTTTAACCATGCCATTCGCTTCCAAATGATAAACTTATTTTAATTTCTAATTTAACCAGTTGACTGAAGAGCTTGATATTGAACCATGTTCCTCTATTGGTAGTAATGACTGAATGAATCTATCTGTTTATTAGCATTTTTGTGACTACACTAAAGTTTATCATTGGTAGTGCCTCTAGCCATTGCATATATCCATCCATGCACAACACTAACTATGTGTATTGATTTCACTGATCAGCAATGTTTTTTTTTGTGTAATGCCCATTTTTCAACATTGGTATCTAAAATGTACACTAATCGATAATTTCAAAATTAACATTAAATTTAAATGATATTTATTTGAGTTTTAATGACTATGGATTAAGATGAATAGAAACAGAACTTTGTTTCTTTGGAAACTCAATTACAGATTATAAAATACAGATTACGACACACTAGAAAAAAGATCAAAAAGCCGATTCTATTTAATGCTTTCCCCGAGTTGAATGTTTTTTAGTGAGAGCCAAAAAATTCAGAGAAAAGTTTGCTAATGAGTGACATAAGCCTCCCCTTTCTGTAACCACTGAGGTAATTTTGTTATTTTGTTAATATGTGGTTCACTCTAGAAAATGTTGTTGGAGAATGTAGATATGAGGTAGGAAAGGGGAGGAACAGAAATTCAACCTTTGACCCAAAGTTCAGATACCCGATAGTAATATTCTTGTGTCCACATGATTTGATAACCTGCCATTTTAGTTTCATTATAATGTCACAAAAGGAGAAACTCTTCAACCAAACTTACATAGATTGATTAATGGCATATCAACACCTTTTGGGTCATTTAATAATAAAATTTAGATTTCTTGGAAGCTTTAAAGTAATAAAAATGTGTTATTCTGCTTTCACAATTGAATACATGGTAGATGATACTCAGCTTTTGGGCATATAAATGTTTGTGTTGACATGATTACTCTAGGCTGTAATGTGTGTTTTATGTTGTAGTTTTGTTGATGTTATATTTTGGGATACATTTTGATTTCTTTAAGAAATTGTCAGATATTATATAGATTAATGCCATGAAAGAGTTCTTTCATGTTAGTTGGTTTTGTTCAGGGGCACATCGACCCCTACAGGCTATTTATTTAATGCCAAAATGTACATATTTTTAAACACAATTTTATGGCTTCAACTACAGATAAAAAATATATTGGTCATTTTTCCTTTATAAAAATGTATTGCTGGTATTTTTACTATGAAAATGTATTTTTATACTTTCATAGGATTTTGTTGGGGTGGGGGGTATTATTTGCCCATAACTAAGACCCTAACAGGTGCTACCACTCTGGGTCAGGGTGTATCTAGGAACAACAGCAATTAAGAGGTGGTTCCACACTCCAATCTTCTGATCAGAGGCCTTGCTACCAGATACCAAACTTGGATCTGTCACCTGATCTACATCAATAATGAAAGGACCAAAGATCAAGTTAGGCATGTCTATGTTAACAATGTCAGCAAAATCAGGATTCCAAATCATCAGAAACATATTTCAAATGTTCACTAGAACAGGCATAATCAATGTCTGAAATTTCCTTGGCAACAACTGCCACTTGTTGGAAATAGTTGCAGTTTCTTAATAAAAAGAAAGAAATGGTACATTTAGCATCAACAAGGGTAACATTCTTTCTATGAATTTGCAAATTCATGTCATTAAAAATCTGTCGTGAAGAAAATATTAATTTTTGAACCTTTCAAATCATTTTCCATTGATTCTCTAAGTCTGAAGAAATTTTAGCACTGTCAAATAATTCCACAAGTCAACATATAACATGAAAATCTGCTAAAAGTTCAGTATATGTGGAAGTTGGGGCTATATATAGTTGCTGCAGCTGGTCTTTTAGTGCAAATTGCATTTCACTATTCAGCAGTTTCTATTTTTTTTTTTTTTGGTTTATCTGATATTTTGACACCACTTTTTCAGCACAAAATAATAGAGAAAAAGTGGCACTAAAATATATCTGGTGAAATTACAATATAGTTTCAGGTTTAACTGTCCTGTGCTCATAGTTATAAATAATAGAGTTATTCACAGCTCGCAGTGTCAATTTATAAGGTCATTTTATTTATTGATAAAGCAGGAATTAAAGATATCGGAGCATCACAGCTTATCAGAAATTTCCAATCTGAATTTTTGACAAAAATGGGACACAAATGACTTAACTTTATTTACACCAACAGACTTAGTTATAGAAATAAATTTACTTATTTACTCTTGTTCCTCCCAACCCCTGATGTTTCTAGCAACTGCAAAGTAGTTGATGCTCATGTACTTTTGGACTATACCTCCAATGGCACCAACAGGAATGTTTGGGGTATCTAGAAAAAAATTATGAGAATACTCCGATTCTGAGAGTTATTTCTAAAAGTTGACTTTCCAAGTCAAAGATTTAGCCAGCTGTGATAGCATTTTGTTTGCTTTAATTAAACCAGTCATAATATCATCTGCCTTGGTAGCACTGAAAGTGAACTGACAGGAAATATCCAAAATGCTATCTGTCATTTCAGTCAGCCTATGCAATATGTCATCCTTGAAAGATGCTAAAATGGGTCGTAGCTTTGAAGGCATATGGTATAGAGTGTCATTATCTTGGTCAGATCCAGAGAGTAGGTGTAATCTCAGTAAATGTGAAGGTTTCTGGTCTCGTAATTTTTTTGGTAGTAAGAAGTTGCTATAATTTTTCTTTCTCCAACATAGTCATGCATAAAATTATTTCTCCAGGGTTTAAAAAAAAAAAAAAAAAAAATCATCATGTCACTTGTAGAAGTTCTAAAAGTAAATGCAAAACTTCCAATGCTGTATCATATGGGAATGAGTGTGCAATATAAGCAAGTCTCTCACTTTGTGATGTTTAATTGATAAAGTTTTTTCAACTGAGCAACATTTAAAAGATGGATCTGCTATGGAAATGGAAAGGTAAGTTTTCAGGAAAGTATGTGGATCATATTTTTTAAAGTTACATCAAATATGGATAAAAACAATTCTAATGTTTTGAGTTTATGTCTTTTTTTTTAACACACAAAGCAAAAATAGCTTTAAAGAATAAAATGTGTTGGGGGGGGGAGATAGAGGGTTCTTATATCCATTGTTAACCATTACTAATAAAGCCTTTATGAAAACGTTCATTATCTAGCTCTAAAGTTCAGCATATATCCAACACAACAGAGTGCATTTAAAAGCACTTCATATTTAAAAAAAAAAACAACAGTAATGTTTATTTAATGAGAATAAAATGTTTTTATAATGAATAAGTCAGAATAGTGATAAGACTAGAGCTAATCCTACAAATATGAAATATAAAATAATTTAGAATAACTGCAAACATATGATTTGTTTTTATGTCAGCTTGCTCCTGGCATTGGAAGAGGATTACTTTTCTTTGGTAAATATATAAACAAATGGTTGAAGTAAATAACTGTTTAATGCAAAGAATGCATTAGCAACTTAAGAGGGGGCATGATTTTACAGAGATAATTCTAAATCCTTAAATATAAACAGAATAAAGCAAAAAGATGGGACAACTTACGGCACCCACAGAGGGTATAAAACGCTGTCGAGCTATCTTCAAAGAATAGCTAAAAAGAGTAGAAACTGTGGCTGCAATAACAATAAAACTGACATTAGGATATTTACATTTTATTTTCATATTACTGCACTTAAATAATAAAAAGATGAACAATAGCAAAGAAAGAAAAACATTAGGACTGTTGGTTGCCAACTTATTTACAACGTTCAGAATCTGCAAACTCATTGTTTAGCAAATTAAAATTTAGCATCCCATTCTATAAGGCTATAAAAAAAAAAATAAGACTATAACCAAAGAGAGAGAAGAAAGGTTTATTCTTCCATTTCTTATTTCCCGTGTTATGGCTTTGGTTGCAAAGAGGCTTTTATATTACTAAGACATAATGTGACACTGAGCCTGAGAGGTGGTTAAACTCTTAAATTCTAAAGAGAAAAAGTGTTAAGCCCAAAATGAAATAAAAAAAATGGAAAAATAGAGATAGAAAGGTGGAATGGAAGACATTTTCCCTGGTAATGTAGAAGTGAAGAAAGGGCCATCTGGGTTGCTTCACCCCTACAAATTGGAACGATGCACCAAGACCTTTTATTTTTTTTTAATCTATTGAAAAATCTGGCATGCAGGTAAAGAAAATTAGGAAAACCCATCATTGATGAAAAAGGAATTATATTTTTGTTAGCAAATTGAATTGAGAAATGAAAACAGAGAATGAACCTGCTGTGAGGGTTGGTTGTTTGGGGTTTTATGGCCTATCAACCACTATGGGTAATTTAATGCCAAATCCAGTTTGCACATATATATACTTTGTAAACATAATTTGAGGATAACATCCTTAAACCACAGCTTGTTTATTCTTACTCAAGTAAATGGTTTCAAATGTTTCTATCTGGCATGAGTTAGTTATTTATATTAAATAAACTAATTCATTTGCATAGCCAATTGATGTACTTTTTTCACTACCAGTTTTATTTGCAGTGAAAAAAGGCCCAATGTAGTATTAATAAATATGGTATTGTTTGAAATTAATGGAGGTTGTTTCTTTTAAGAAGGTTTCTTGTAGGCAAACTATTTTGGGGTTATGGTTGGTCAGAAGTTGTTGAAGTTCCTCATAATTAGCCCGGATTCCTCTGCAATTACACTGTAGGATTGCATTATTTTGTAATTTCATTATTTGATGTGTAATTTGTCTGAATTGGAGTTATTGCTCTTTTTTGACTTGTTTTTAGTGCTCGGTTCATCGGTTTCCATCCTTTCCAAAAAATTAAACCTGTTTTCCGTGTCAATCTTTGAAGTTGATTGTTCTGTAGGTTGACTTGTTAGATTTGAAGACTTTAGACGTTCCCGTGAGGAAGTTGGGGTATGGTCTCTCTTGGGTTGTGATGGGCATTCTTCTTTGTCCTTGTTTGATTCGGGGTTTTGTATATTATTTTTCCCATTGTTATTGATTTTGGAAGTTGAAAGAAAGATTGATGATCGTTGCAGGTTTTGTCTTTTGGTAAGAGTGGTCTGTGTCTGTGATGTTGTTTTGGTTATTTCTTTTTCATTCTTTATTTTGTCATGGGTTTTATTTATCTGAGCTGGAACTTCCATTTGGAATCTTTGTTGAGTACTATTGGCGTGTTCCTTCTTTAGCTCTGCCTGGAATTTTGTCTACTCGCTTGGATCTAAATTTATGAGTTTTTCGATTAGGGTTCTATATTTGTTATCTTCATTGGTTGTTTTAGCTCTCCGTGTAACAGAGGCATAGCTAGTCTCACCCATATAGACCTCTACAATTTTTATGGCCTCCAAGAAAGACACATTTCTCTTATGTTTTACCTCAATGATTTCTTTTTCTTTCCTGTAGACGTCACAAGATCTTGCGTATGCCGGATGATCCTGTTGACAATTTGGACATTTTAGTGGTTTCAAGTATTCCTCCTATTTATGATTTGGTTCTTTTTCTCCGCATTTGGTACATGTCTGTAATTCTCTGCAAGCATCCCTGTGGTGTCCAAATTTCTGACATTTGAAACACCTCAAGGGAGCTGGGATGTACTGTTTGACTCTCTCCAGACAACAGCCTATTTTGACTGCTTTAGGGGTTTGGGGCTGGTTAAAAGTCAATATGTAGATGTTTGTTTTGACTTTTTCATCACTCTTTCTTATAGTCAATCTTCTTATATTTATCACTCCATGTTTTCCCAGGGCATCTCTTATCTCGTCCTCTGAGGCTAAAGCCAACTCCCAACTTCTGATGACACCTTTGGAAGTGTTAAGTCTCTCAAGTGGATAAGTTTTACATTTGAAGTTATGAAATCTTTTCATTTTTAGGAGGTTTTCTGCTTGTCTCCTGTTATCCACCTCAACAAGCAAGTTTCCATTTCTCAATTTTTTAAAATTTTTTGGTGTTGCTCGTGCAGAGATAATTTTTTCAATCAAAAATGGAGAGAATTTAGCGAGACAGACCTCTTTCAGGGATTCAATGACAATGAATCTGGGGAAGTCTGCTGTTTCACACTCAGAGTCTGATTCGGATAAATTTCTTTTAGTTTTTTTTATTTAAGGATGCCATGTTTGGATTTTTATTTTCACTGGCCCTGTGCTTCACCACCCACCACGGAGTCCAACTTGAGAAGGGAATGAACCAAGGGGGTAACTCATTCGCCTTGGTTGAGACAGGGATACACGACCAGTATACTCATATTAAGAGCAAGTCTTGAGCCTCTGCAAAATTTTGGTTATAAAACCCTTCAATTTAACAGTGGTGAAAGAGTCTTTTGCTCTCAACACAGTTGACCCTCAGCCCCCACCTTCTAGCACATATAAAATAAAGGGTTGTGAAATGTTCTACTAATATAGATTCAATAATACTATTGGGAGAAAAAGATATATTTATGAACTAGGGCATGTCGGGACCAGCCGATAGATTGGATCGGGCCTCTCTGACCGCCCATCTAGCCCAGGTAAGGGCCAAATTGGTGTGTTGTAGGAACATGACCTCTTTGCACCCAGGTCATGACCTTCTCAACCACCAGGATCCCGTCCCCAGGCATTTCGGGTCACCACCCATGGACAACAGGTGGCCCCTTTGGGGGACTTTTACCTCCTGCAGAGGTGCAGTTGGCATATTCTGAAGCCCCGCCAACAGAGCATCTGTTGTGAGGGTTAGGATTATGAAAAACAATCTGTCAAAACAGAATAAATAAATGATCTGGTTTGTTTTTGCTAAAATGGCAACTGGCCCAAGAAGGGAAAACTGTATCACTTTGTTGAGAATTTAGGTAAACAAATATATTTTCACTGACAAAAACAAATTGGGAAATAATTTTTATCTATCGCTTGGAAAGTTAGAATGAGAAGGTGATCTGGTTCATGTTTTTACTGGACAAGTGGATCCAGGAAAGGAGTCAGAGAATTGAAATTAATGAGCAGAATAAACCATGCCCTTCTCTTAAGCACTTTAAAAATTAGATTTTTGTCCCAAAGACAGTTATGCCAAGAAGTGGGCAGAGTTAGAATACCGAGAAGGAAGGAGGAAGGGGCAGAATTTATCTGTGCTTGTGCTGAGTAGCAGTGTAAGACGTGAAGTGAAACAGGTTGAAGTTAAGGGAGGAGAACAGTCCCTGTGACTACACCTAAGGAAGGTGGATAATTCTCCAGACTTGGAAAGGTGATTAAAGCAGAAATAGGGAAGAAAGAAAATCTTTATTGGAATTAATGAAAATTGGGGAATCACTGAATCCCCAGAACCCTTTGGTCACATGCCAGCTTTGGGGCCAAAGTGCATATAAGCAGATGACCTTGGGGAGCTCAGAGACTTTGGGCCGAAATCTTGCATTGAGCGCCTCTAGAATCCACATCAGCTGCCACCAGATTTCCTAATTCCAAGACTTTGAACCCATCTCCTCCAGAAATTTAGACGAGACCCAGTGTCACTATAGAGATTGATGCAGGAAGGGATAATTTTTGTTGTCCTAAGAAGAGCTATATAAACCAATTGAAGATTGACCCCATGAATCGCGTTTTATTTTTTGTTGTGTAGATATTTTTCTTCCTTAATATGGAAACTGCCACAGCTTGAACCAGTGCTATGATTATGTCAACCTCCAATCTTCCACTGCTCTGAAATCAAGAACAACACATGGGCAGAGTCAGTGTGGATTGAAGCAGTCAGCGGCCAACAACCAACTCAGACCAGTGTCAGCATTGTTAGCCCTGTGGTTAAAATATCATCCTAAGACGCTGAGGACTGGCTTACTAAATGTGGTTACACCAGCAAGAAAATTGTGGCACCTTGCATTATTAGAAATATTCATAGAAATATGATTTAATTTTTCTTACTCAGTTTATTAAACAGGTTGTTAATTTTTTTTTTTTAACGGAAAATAACTGAGTTGAAAATAATTCACTAAGAGTGTACTAGACGATCCTAAGGAAAGAAGAAGGAAAAAGAAAGGAAAAAGGAAGGAAGGAAGAAAAAGAAAAAAGAGAAATGTATGACGCATGACCCAATTGAGGGTGGAGATAGGAGTCAGAAAGTTTAGGTCACGTCTTGGCCCATTTTGGTAAGAATGTCGGTCAGAGCACCTAAAAAGACACCTTATCAATTTGGATAAAGAGAAATTTTGGGAACAATGAAACAATTTTAATCAGGGAAAAAAGTGTCTTTGGGTTGAGGGGAGACCGGTGGAGCGATATACAGACCTGTTAAGAATTGGACACCCACGTTAATAAAGAGACATTTCAATGTAGATAATTAAGATTTTCGACTATCAGGTAAAACAAAAGAGGTAAAAAAAAGGGACAATTGCTTTTGGCTCACAGAGGGCGCCAAGAAGGCGGAAAAGATCCTTTCTAAAGTCAAGACTAATTAGCTGAGAAAGCCAAAGATTGTCATTTTGCGTACGTGCAAAAGGGGCAAAATTGGATTTTGTTTTTTTAAACAAGAACGATGTAACCAAAACAGAGGGGAGAGGATGTTCGAAATAACAATTGGTCGAATACGATCACGTGACCTGAAGAAAAGGAAAGAAATGTTTGATCAATAACAATTGGTGGTCAAGATCACGTGGACCTGCGGAAGAAAAGAGAAAGAAATGCTTTCGATCAGGAACGATTGGTTGAAAAACCTGACAAAGAAAGAGAAGGATGTGCCCCACCCCACCAAAGGTAAAAAAGTAGGGGCGAAAACAATAGCGATAATGGAAAGAAAAAATGCAAGAAAGACCCAAGTTTGTTGGCAAATATAAGCAGGACCCCAGTCGACAGAAATCAGTTGAAGTTGCAAAAAGGATAGAGCCTGAATCAAGCCCCTTTGCGGGCAAAGAATCCTCAAAAAAGAAAGATGAAGAAGAAGATTGCGGAAAGCCTGAAAGAAAGACAAGAAAGTCGATGAAAAAAGAAAAAAGAGAATCCTCAGACAAGAAGAACTTCCAGCCCAAAAAGAAAAGAAGATTGCCTGAAAAGAAGAAAGATGCAGAAAAGAAAGAAAAAAAGAACCCCTCAAAGAAGAACTTCCAGCCCAAGTAAAAAGAAGAAGATTGCCTGAAAGCCTGAGAAAATTGGAGCTGCAGACAAGAAAAGTCGATGAAAAAAAATTCAGCTCCGGACGGCAGTGAAAGAGAAAGAAAGAAAGAAAGTTGAAACAAGAAATCTTCCACCAAGTTGAAACAGGAAAACTAAGCCCAAGCAGAAAGAAGAAATACAACTCAAAAGAGAAGAATCAAAGAATGATCGAAAAATTAGAAAGAACTGAAACATACATAATTCTAAAAGTAGGTAAAGAATTTTTCTAGATAGAAAAACATAGTCCAGAAAGAAAAGAAACAATTTTGTTTTTATGTAACGGACTTTAAGAAAAAGAAATCAGCAATTTTGTTTGGTGTCGTGAAATTTTATTTGTGTTTTGCCAAAACTCACTTGTATCGGCCTCCATCCCTGCTGGTCCCGGGTCTGTCTAAGATCTAAACACAGCGTGGGTAGACAGACCGGAATCGGTATAGTTGCTTTAGTGAAGGTAGAAAGAAAAGGCTGGTGATCATCTGAAAAGGGTTGGAGCGGCACGCTTGGACCCAGGAGGAAAGGAGAAACCACATGCCCGAAGAAACTGGGCCAGGTGTGTAAAAAATGAAAGAAAGAAAAAAGAAAGAAAAGAAAAGAAAAAAAAAAAGAAAGAAAGAAAAGAAAGCAAAGAAAAAGAAAGAAAGAAAAAGAAAAGAAAAAGAAAAAGAAAGAAAGAAGAAAAGAAAGAAAAAGAAAGAAAGCAAAAAGAAAGAAAGCAAGAAAGAAAAAAGAAAAAGCAAGAAAAGAAAAAAAAGAAAAAAAGAAAGAAAGAAAAGAAAAGAAAGAAAAAGAAAAGGAAGAAAGAAAGCAAGAAAGAAAGAAAAGAAAGCAAGAAAAGGAAAAGAAAGAAAAAGAAAGAAAAAAAAAGAAAGAAAAAAAAGAAAGCAAGAAAGAAAGAAAGAAAAAAGAGAAAGCAAGAAAGAAAGAAAGAAAAAAGAAAGAAAGAAAGAAAGAAAAAGAAAGCAAAAAGAAAAGAAAGAAAGAAAAGAAAGAAAAGAAAAAAGAAAAAGAAAAAGAAAAAAAAGAAAGAAAGAAAGTCTGAAAGAAAGAAAAGAAAGAAAGAAAGAAAGAAAAGAAAGAAAGATGAAAGAAAAAGAAAGAAAGAAAGCAAGAAAGAAAGAAAGAAAAAGAAAGAAAGAAAAAGAAAGAAAGAAAAAGAAAGAAAAAAGAAAAGAAAGAAAGAAAGAAAGAAAAGAAAGCAAGAAAGAAAAGAAAGAAAAGAAAAAGAAAGAAAAGAAAAAGAAAGAAAGAAAGAAAGAAAAAAGAAAGAAAGAAAAAAAGAAAGAAAAAAAAAAAAAGAAAGAAAGAAAAGAAAGAAAAAGAAAAGAAAGAAAAAGAAAGAAAGAAAGAAAAAGAAAAAGAAAGAAAAAAAGAAAGAAAGAAAGCAAGAAAGAAAGAAAAAAGAAAGCAAGAAAGAAAGAAAAAAAAGCAAGAAAGAAAGAAAAAAAGAAAGCAAGAAAGAAAGAAAAGAAAGCAAGAAAGAAAGAAAAAAAAGAAAGAAAGCAAGAAAGAAAGAAAAGAAAGCAAGAAAGAAAGAAAAAAGAAAAAAGAAAAAGAAAAAGAAAGAAAATAGAAAAAAAAAAGAAAAGAAAAAAAAACTATTTGTCAGGCAATAAAATTGTTCAGAAAGATAAAAAAAACAAAAAAGGGGTTCAGAAAGATATGAAGCCTGCCTTCAAAGATGGCAGAAGATAGTGGACAATATAGTAAATGTGGTGTTCAATAAAGATCAAGTTAAAATGAACCTTTTGGGTAACCAATAATTGATAAAAGGCAGGTGTTGATTGGTTAGATGAATAAACAAATTCTTTATTTTTTTCAATAAAGAGTTGATATTAATTAATTATCACTTACCAGCACTGAAGTAGAAGGCCATGAACTGCTCTTTGCCAAACAGGTTTAGTGCCACATTTGAAAAGGACCACAAGACATACATGTTAGTAAACATGTGGATGAAACTGTATTGGCTGAAGGCAGATAGAAACATAGACCAACAAGGAGCTCCTGTGGCAAAGAGAAAGAAAGAAAGAGCATATCCATAAGAAGAGGTTCATTTAAATTTGGGGCAAGGGTGCTTTTCTTGGGTTGACAAAATTTTTTTTTTTTTAAGTCATCATCCTTTCAGTTGTAAGAATAAATGTGTGGATAGGGTAGTTGTTGTTGTTGTATTATGCAATTTTGGGGGGTATGTGTCTGTTGGCAGACATTTTATCATAATATGTGCTATAATCCAAAAAGCAATGTTATGCACAGTGGACAATATTTGTTTTTTTTATTTCTCTCCATGCAAGGCAATAATGCCACCCGAGATGCAAGGAGTTACTAAAAAGAAGATGAGAAAAACGTTAATGAGGAGAAAGGACAATAAACGAACAGAATTCAGGAAGACAGAAAATGTCAATTGATATAGCATTTAAATTTTGGAAGATCGCAGGTGATAGGAAAGCAAGTAAGTGTAAGAGAGGTCCACAAGTGAGAAGTGTGAAAAAGAATCTGTTAGCATAGAACTTTGGCCATTCAACACGATTTGTTAAGAAAGATTGGACCAACTCAAAAATTAGGCTGAACACACCATAGTCCTTCAGCTTGTGAAGAAGGCCAGCATACCAAACCCTGTTAAATGCCTTAGAAATATCTAAAGCCACAGCCCAAACCGGGTCATTCTTATCTAAAGCTTGATAAACAAATTCAGTAATAACCATTAACATATGCAATACTGTTTGCCAGAAAGAAGGTTGTGCAAAGTGAGATGCTTAACCAAATCAGTGTTGATTAGAGCCTCTATTACTTTACCAAAAAGAGATAGAAGGCCATGTTGTAATGTAAGGCAAGAGTGTGTCAAAATTGGGGGAAACCTGATTGCTCTCCTGACTATTACGGGAGTAATAGGCAGAGAAGGGAAAAAGATGAGAAGTAACAAAAATAACACTGCTGCCTTGGAAACCACAGAAACTTTAAGAACAAAACGCCCATGGGACCAACTTCACAAGTCACAGTGTCTTGCTGACTGCTGGTTTTTCCCTCTGCTTTATTGGCATGAGGCATCTTAAAAATGCACGGATCTTGACCGCTTGCAGAGAGCCCTGTATCAAGACGAGCCAAACTATCCTGCTGCTAATGGGGAAAAACCGGATGTAACTGGTGTTGATAAACATGTCCGCATGCAATCCAAGGCCTCTTCTGTATGTGTACTGATGCAGGTTTGTCACAGACTAATAGGGCAATAATTCAAAAGAGATCAGAAGGGTGAAGAAAACCCGGGTGGAGGTGATTGCTAGGAAAGAATTGCTGCATTAAGCTGTTTTGCATATGTAGAATATGTAGAATACACTGATAGATAGATAGATAGATAGATAGATAGATAGATAGATAGATAGATAGATAGATAGATAGATAGATTTTTCTTTTGAATCAATTTAATGACCAGGGTTTTCAAGAATCCTGTTTCCAGCCAAACTTTGAATTGGCAAACATAAAATTTCATTAATGATTTTAGATAATCATAAATGTAGATTCCTTTGTAAAACTGACCACCCAAAAGCTGAATAGGTGGTCTCCTTTTCCGGAACACAAGTGGGCAGATAGGGTTGGTGGATCCTCCTGCCAGTATCCATATAATGAGAAGTCAGTGAGGAAGGGACAGTGGAGGAGTCAGCAGTCACCAAGACGGTTGGGCAGTGAGTGTAAGGGTTCTTTTTGTAGCTGGAAGTTAGTAAGATAGCAGTTCATCTTCTCAAAGCTGAAGGAAGACCATGCCAATTAAGTGAGAAATTGTATTGATTGCTATTTCCCAATCAGTCTCTTGAAGCATTTGTCATTATTCTTTGTTGATTTCAATCATGGCCAGTGAGACAAACTTGTGAATATAGTGAGCCAAGTGCATAGGCATACACATACAGCCGACCATGGATGTCATCAGAGCTTGTGTAGTGATGTGTGGAAATTATCGTCACACATGTTTATACTTGAAAGAATTGCACGACAAGCATCATATGAGGATGGGAAGGACCCTTTTTTGACCAGAAAGGCTGTATAGTGGTGTTGGGCTTAGTGGTTAAAATGAGCAGTTGATTTACTCATACCAAGAAGATTAATGGAGGATGGTAATGATGAGGAAACACACAGGTAATTTTAACAAAACAATATAAGGAATTTATTTATGAATTTAAATGCTTCAAGTTGTGTCAGTAGCTCATTCCAGAAAAATAAATCTGAAATTTTTTCAAGTCTGTAGTTTTAACAAATTGTCATGAAGAGGAAATGTTCATAGAACAGATTAAATGATCTGGCCCAAAATAATATTAAAAAAGGTTTAGAACAAAGATAAGAGTGTTATTCACAAAAGGGATATATGGTGGCATACTTTTAAAGTAAATGAAAGATAGTTTGAAATATTTAGCTTTCTTGGATTGTTGAAAGAAAATTGTAAAAAAAGATAATTGGTGAGCAATTTTACACTGGTGAGACACTTATTAAATTTTCTCCTCATATCAAAAGAAATTTTGCATAGGCTTGTTACTTTATTCTTGTTTCATTGGCTAATTTCTGTGAAGACAAGGTTTTCATTGGTCCAAAAGAAATTTCACATAGGCTGGGAAGTAAGGACTAGGCAAAGGCTACTTAAATTGGAGTAAAAATTTGGGTAAAGCACCCAGATACACATTGTACAACCCAGTGAAGAACTAAAGTAATGGATAATAATTGTCGTCTGTCTTGTCTTGTAACAGCATTCACTCAGGGTGGGTTGTGCCGGCTCCAATTGAATTAACTGCATTGCGCATCAAGCCCCCCCCCCGTCGATCGGCTGCCGATAATAATTCTAGTAATAACGTTTAATTTAATGATGTGCCATGTCATTTCCTGGCCAATGAGACTAGTGAAGATTATAAAATCTCATGGTGATTCCAAAGGAAACAGTGACAGTGGAGGAGGACTTATGAAGGGATAAAAACATTGTTACAATGCAGATGATAAAATTTCTTATCTTTCTTTCGTATTTTTTGTTTTTCTGGAGTTTGTTATATGTCTAATAAATCCTACACATGATATCATGGATTATACAAGAGAAAGTCAAAAATTATATTATGGTGAAAGTGTGGAAATTTTTGACTAACTTTCATATATGTTTCCAATAAGTACAGCTTGGTGAACAGTGATCTGGAGATTTTATTGCAACCAATTCTGTCCTTTAAGAATAAATACAACATGGATTTGATAATGGATTTTGCTAGTGATCATTCTGGTAAAGTTTTCTTATTGTAGTCATGCATTATTTTTTCTTAATTATAACAGAGATGAGAAGTTATAATTTTAATGTAATCAAGATTGTTTTTTATGTCAAGGTAAAAACTTAGGGACAAGACCTGCAATCATCTTGCTTTAGAAAAAATACATTTTTCTTAATTTAAAAAAAAAAAAAATCTGCCCCTTTTAAAATGTGTTTTATTTATAATAAAACATATTTTTGGTTCAGAGTCTGTCTATATTTCTGAGATGAGGTATTACATTATTTACATTATTTGGACTATTGTCCTCATCTTTGTTGCCATATTTATCACAACGTTTCGGCCGTTGTATGCTCCGGCCTTCTTCAGGTGGTTGGAATTTCGAACTGAACACTTTATTTCGCTCACTGGGGTAGACTGTTCTAGCTCCATGTTTGATGGATGTCAGTTGTCAGTTATCTCCTGCTAATTTTCCCTCTGAAAGTTCTCCACTGCCTTAACCGGGTATTGAACTCACACTCTTTGAGTCCTGTCACTGGATCTAACCAACGCCTTTATCCGCTGTGCCATGTGTCCTTGAGGACACATGGCACAGTGGATAACAGTGGATGACACAACTTAAAGCATTTAAATTCATAAATAAATTAAATTAGCATAAACAAATTAACTCGTTATTTTGCAATATTATCTAAAAATTTCTAATTTAAGGTGAATAAGATTTTTGCGTATTTAGTTACTTTATAGTAATTTTGTTCTTTCTTTCTACAATTTCACGGTAACTGCTGCGATGAGCTGCTTTCGCTAGTTCCCAGACTTCATGAATTTAAGCGTTCAACTAGGCTGGCATCTTGCTCTCACCTTTTGACTGTCGAAACTGTTAAATGTAGCCATCTCTTCTACTCCAATAGCTTCATGTCTCACACTTCTTGCCTGTGGAATTCCCTCCCCACTTCCTGTTTCCCTGATAGCTATAATCTTCAACTATTCAAATGTAATGTCAATCGATGTCTCCAGATGCCCTGTTCTATCCCCTAGCTTTCTCTTCACCCTTTCCTCTATCACTCCTATTTGCTCTCACTCCAACTCTCTGTAACCCCTTGCATGCTAGTAGCTTCCCACCTTGTTTGGGGTGGAATGCTTAAAAAAAAAAAAAAAATTATGGAAATAAGTCAATAATTGTAAGATGCTCCCTAATATTATAATATTGTTAATTAACTAATCACTAGACATTACTAACAAGTTCCTTGCTAAAATTGTTCTCAGGAATTGTTATTTAGTAGTAATTTAGGCTTCCACATGTCTACCCTCAGCCGAAGAGCGCAGTCGCATAGTTGTGAGGCCTGGTATATGGATTGCCTTGATTGCAGGTATTTTTTTTTCAAAAATCTATTATTGTTATTTTTACTATAAAAATCTATCTTATACTTTAATAGTGTTTCAATCACAGTTTGGGGGTTACTATTTGCTCATAGCTGGGACCCTAACAGTTGCTACCACCCCAGGTCAGAGTGGACTTGGGAATAACAGCAATTGAAAGAGGGGGGGGGGGGTCGCACTACTAAAATGCTCCAGATCAGAGGCCTTGCTGCCAGATGTAGTTTATTGTTGTATCCAGGACGGCTTGGATTTGGAATGAAATAATATGAACGAGAAATAAAATACTAGTCAACTGACCTGAATTTGGATTGCTACAGAAGTATTTCATCATGTTGGCCTGCAAAGATGGGATCCGCCACATTATGAAGACAAGGGCATTAGCTCCAATTATTCCCAGTACATACTTCTGCCCATCACTCATGCTATTCCACCACATGTTCAACTGAATGAGAAGAAAAATCAAAGAGAAATGAGGCCAGATGGAAGGAGCCCAAATTAGTTTTAAAGTAGATTTTTTTAAAAGTTATAAGCAATAAGAGGCACTTAAAGCTTAATTCTCTATATTAGAAAAAATTATTCTATGTATTTAGAATTATTGCTATTTTATTACTTCAAACATTATTTTTAATGGATATCTGTGTTGTAGTAGATACTCTATTTTATTTTAAACAGTATTTATTTCATCAACTGGTCTGCACACTCCCAAAACTTATTAAAGAAAATAAGTGGCCTCTGGCACGTTTGAACTTGCATTGCCCTTTGCAGAAAGCACTATCTGATCTGGCTTTAACTGCTCATCTATGAGGAACTTTACAATGAAGCAAGGTCCTATTTGCTTGATTGATAAACTTTTCATCGCCGAGTGGTTGAAGCTTGCCAGATCAGATGGTGGTTTCTCCTGTAAAGGGAGATGCAGGTTCAAATCCTGTAGGAGAGCATATTATCTTTAATAAGTTTTTGAGGCTGATAGACAAAATAAATACTGGTTAAAATAAAAGTGTCATAAAATAAAATAAGACATATCTCGGCTGATTTGCAGGCAAATAAACTAACATACTCAAGAGCGAGAGCCGGATGTGAACGGGACAAGGCCCCGTCACAAAATGACCATATTTACACGTTTACGCATATTCCCGATGCACGAGTTCCAGTCGAAAAATAATATTTTAAAGTGTCTCTATTTTTCGACCAATAAAAATGCTTCCCTCCTAATTATACTTGCGTCGTTTTATGAGCCTGTCAAGCCATAAAAATCGCCATAAAAGGGGTCACACGGAAGTACAATGGCAGTCAACAGGAGGCCAGGGAAGAGACCTGTCACGGTCAGGCTGAGCGGTCAGCAGCAGTAGCGACACGCCAACCAGCGAGAACTACTATGAGAGATCAACCCAGATCTTCAGCCGGCCTATGAACTATACCACAAGGTAGCTGTCCCAAAACCACACGTTCCTATTGAAATAAATCACGTAAATCTATTTCTGCTGTTGTCGTATTTCTTTTTTACAACCATATGCTTGTCTATAACAAAGGAAATGTCTAATCAAATATGAGCATCCATTAAAGATAATGTTTGAAGTAATACAAATGTTGGATTAAAAAAAAAAAATTAATTCTTTAGAAATTACTTCTATGAAAAGTAATAAATACTGAATTACTTATAAAAAAGATGTAATTGAAAATGAATTTTTACAAAATAAAGCTTTATTAAAATATTAAAATTCAAAAAGCTGTACTTATTGGAAATAACATTTTAAATGAAAATAATTTAAATATTTTTTACAAAAAGTATAAATTTTTATTATTATTTTATTACTAAGACTATTTTGTTAAGAATAACTTAAACACATTAAAATGAAAACAATAAATGATTTTTCAATTGAGACAAAGAACAAATCTCATGAAATATAAGCAATTTCAAAAATATAAGCTTTCCCCAAAGTACCACTCATTTCTTAACATTTTAGTCATTACCAAATTTCTCTGGCAGTATATTCAGGGCAGGAATGACACAGCATTGCTGGGTGGAAGGTTTTCTAGACTGAAATTCAAGTCAAGAGTGGAGTGTCCCCATGATGGAATTAATGTCCATGACTAAGTTTGAGCACATTGGCTGCAGTCTAACCTGGTCTACTTTACCCAATAAATGTATATCTACCAAGGCATATATGGAAGGAGCTGATCAGGTGCTCAAGCTGAACACCTGGGCATGAGACTGATGATAACATTTTCATGATGAGAGTCAATACCTTTTCATGCAGTGACAATTACAAATCTTGAAACTTCAGTAGCTGTTTCACATATTGTCTATGTAAAAAACATTTAACACTTTGCTTCATTTTTATTACCTATTTTACTTGTACTAAACTTGTTTCTGATAAAATTAGACAATAATGGTGGCTAGAAACATTTTCTGTAGAATTTATCTGTTATAAAGGAGACACTCACATGTGATCGAAATGCGTAGGATTTTGGATGAAATATGTCGTGCCCATCAGCTGAAATCCAATTATTTATAATTTTTTGTGCCTTCAACCGCATGAGTTCATACTGCCAAACCATTCCTCCAAGGAAACAACTTCCACTGAACTGGAAAGAAAAAAAAAACAAATAATTCAATATTAATAGTAAAAAAATAAATTATATCTCAAATTAAAAATTTAGAAATTAAGTAAATGAAAATGAATATAAAATAAAAAAAGAATAAGGAACCCGATGATTACAATAAGAAGAAAATAAATCACATTTTATTTTCACCTGTTCTTTTAAATCTGTAGAGAATAATTTTAAAACACTTGCACAACAGACTTTCACAAGATCTCATCATTTTAAAGCTGAAATGACTAGATGTTCTATACTGACAGTTTCTTCTATCGCATTTCACGCTTATTTGTTCCCAGCCAACTTTGATCTTCAAACATTTAAATTCAATGTCAATTATCTTTTGTCTTCTTAATTCCTCTTCTTTTATTATTCTCTCTTAATGTTTTTTTTTTTTTTTCCCATATTCTTAACAAAAATGGGTAACACATGTAACTAGAAGACATTAACTTTCCAAATTACCCAAAAAAGACTGGAAGGAAACTCTAGTCAATATAAGAAAAGAACTATAGCAGTTAGTAGATTTGAGAAGTTTAATTTTGTGAAAACGATTTTATAAAAACAAAAGATTGTATAAATTTTAGCCAGAGTAACACTGTTCAGTCAAGAAATGTTGAAAGTTTTCTGAATGGAAACAGCTAATTTTACCATTACTATTGTAGTCTCATTTGTACTACAGCAACAAAAGCATTAGTAATAATGGGTCCGTTTAGAGCAAGATGGACAGATGGAACCAATTCCTCTTCAGACTGGTTTTGAATTCAGAATCGTTCTTTTCCAAGATTGGTTACCAATAACTGATACTGGTCCTGTTATTTCACTCTGAGCTGGTGGAAAAGTAATGAAATCATGCCTTTTTCAAGGCTATTACTGCAAACTCAATGCAAGCCATCCCAGCCAGAATTTCAATTATAGTTACTTTATTACAATAAATCTTTGGTCACTTATCAAACATCCAATCAGATTTGTAAAACTATATTCCATCGACATTATGAAAAGGAAATTATTTATTGGTGAAAATAAAATTTTGCAACAGTAAATTGATTTTTTTTAAACATTTTAAAATCATAATTCAAATAATTTGTGGAGCCATTTTATTGGTTTCCATAAAGCAGAATCAGAGAATTAAAGAACCAATTAAAAACCAAACAAAGTATTTCTCAAAATCACTTGATAATCACAAGATGACACTTACAAGCACAGAAAAGCCAAGTGGTTTGATTATATAGCGAAATGTAACAGTGTCATTTTCCCTGACTCTCAAGTGGGCCCCTTGTCTTGATTTCTGGTGGAATTTTCGGAATGGATTGTTCCATAATTGTGAAGGTCTTGAATTTGATTGAATGACATTGTTGAAGCACCTTGTGCAGATTGGACCAGGCTGTGTCAGTTGCAGAAAATTACTGTAAAAGACATGAAAAGAGTTTGCATACATTACTGACCTTTTGCCATCATAAGTTAATGAAAAACTAAAAGGAGATTAGTAGAGGCAGCAAAGAAATATAAAAGGAGTGGGTAGGAATAAAAACAGGTGACAAGTGTTGGGGGGGGGCGTTGGAACCTGATAAAAATAGAGGCATGGAACATATTTTATTGATGTTTAATTTTCAACTTCAGGCCACTAATGAGGCTATTCAATTGTTTTAGAGCAGCATTCTCATTTTTATTGTTGTTTCCATTGTGTCTCAGTTGGATGATGCATTTTGAGAGCAAGATGGGGAATTCTCAGCTGCACCACAAAAAACAAACACACATAAAGAAAAGTAATAATGTTAAAAATATGCTGAAAATTGTCAGCATACAACAGTGTTCATTTTAAGTAGAGCCCAATGATGAAAGCTCTCCCTCAAGTGCTTTTTCCTAGAATTCAAAAAAAAATATAAAAAGCTTTTAGGGAATTTTAAATTTGTTCTATGTCTATATTTAAAGATCAATTCACTCCTATGGTTTAACAATTGGTTAGCATTTGTGTATTTAATTATTGCAATTTTCTCTTGTATACACAGATTGTATCTGTCCCAGAAGTTGTTGGGGGTTTGAGACTGATAGATGATTTCCCATTTGATTATTGGGGAGAAACTACTATCTTTAATCTTCCAGTGATGCTTGGATAGAGTGATTCGGTTTCTCAAGGTAGTATTGGAGAAGGAATGTTGGTGACTGTATAGTCTCTGTTTCCAATTTCCAGCAGCTATTCCTATGTATATCTTTTTGTCGTTGGTGTTTTCCTTCAGGAAAATGGTAGCTTGGTATACCACATTTTCTGAATTATAGGTACCTCCGACTGGGCAAATGGTTATGGTTTTACAGTTACAAGATGGTTTTTCTCTTGCTGTTTTGCTGTCTTGGGTTGCTTTTAATATTTGGCTGTTGTGTGTACTAATAATGTTCTGCATGTTTTTGGTGTAGGAATAACTAATCTTGGTTTTTCTTTTGAAAATTTTCTGTAGAGGGTTATTTTGGTTAAAGTGCTTGTCAACTAAGTTTAAGAATTATCTGCCAATATTTAAATTGAATAAGTTACAGAAAGGAGGAGGAGGTTGAACCATATCATTCTTTCTGTTTGTGTTCTTATTTGTTTTAATACCCACTAAGGATTCTTGGTAGATTAATTTCTGTTTGAAGTTACTCCTACTAAGGGTCTTGTCATAAGCTACTCTGCTCTCATTAAATATTTTTCTGTTTGAAGATTATTTATTCTAGTGTTCATAGTTTGGGGAACTTGTTTAACTATTGTTTGAGTGGTCCGAGTTTACATTAATGAAAATCGGAGTTTGTTTTTGTTTTTTAAATGGCTTATAGGTGTTGTTTGAGAGGTTGAAGGTGACATCTAAGAAACTGACTATCTTGAGGTTAGATGAGATTTCAATTTTAAAACCTAAAAATTGGAAAGCCCTTATAATTCTCTTCTGTATTCTAGAAGATAGTGAACCATTACTATTTGGGATGTAGATGTCCGTCATCTCTGTAAAGGCCCACTTGTCTATGGTCAATAATCCTACTAAGAGTGCCTAGTATACCTACTAAGTCCGCAGTTTGAGCCAAGTCATATGCTCCCATATACATATATATAATTATTAATTAAAGAATATCAGACACTTAAAATCCTATAGGTAATAATTTTTATTTCATGAGAATTCTAAATATAAAAGACCTACAAACAAATTCACAAATGAAATAGAAAAAATATTCTGAGTTAAAATCAAGAGATATTGCTATCTTATTTAGAGAGTTGGAAAAGAATGTTGACCTATTTTGATTATATATATATATATATATATATATATATATATATATATATATATATATATATATATATATATATATATTTATCAAAGGAAGAATTGACAAAATTGACAAAAATTAAGACTAACATGATAGTTCTGTTAATATTTGAATGTCTTTATAGGTCTTGCTTTTTATTAATCAGAAATGATAAATGTAAGCAAAGATATGTGTAAGCGCATATATAAATATAGAGAAACAACAAAGTTTTGGAGATTTGTGCACTGTCTAGCCATAAGCTTCCAGGTCTAAAAATTATTGTTGTTCCTATGAAAGATGAACCTTGAGTTGTAGGTTCAAATTTTATTAGACTACTTCATTAGTCTGATTTCACACTAATAATAGTAGGAAAGTTTTTAGAGTATAGAATGCTGATAAAAATCAACAAAGGACAAAGAAATGACTAATTAAAAATTAATAAAGCTGTGAAGTTCTCAAAAGATAATTTATTTTTAAAAGTTTAACATTTTATTTCATGTAACAGATTTTCTAGTAACTGTCAGTTCTTTGTTTTTAAAGAATTTAATTTTTTACGGTTTATCATCCTTTTGAAGGTGATTTAAAGTCAGAAAATATTTTTAGATTGTAAACATTTTTAGATAATGATTTAGTGATACAAATCTTACTAATTAACCCATAGCTGAGGGAGAAGATGTGCATTTATACTGTTGCCAATGCAACTGGAATTCAAACTTGGTTCTCCAATTTCCAATTCTGAACTGTTATCCATTGCACAACCCAAACATCCAAGCTTACAGCATATGGTATTCCCAAGTGGTCACTCGTCTAGGTAGTGACCTGACTTGATGTTGCTTAACTTTGGTGATCATGCAAGAACTTGCATTTCAAGAATGTTAAAATTGCTTAATGCATGTAACTGCATATAATGTAACACCATTTTTATTAAGTAGAAAGCATATGATTTTCATATCCTTATGCAACATGGTAAATTGCTACAAAACTAAAACATTAACCTGAAAACTAGTCATGTTCTCAGATGTTAGCCTAGTCAGATTGAGACTTTCATAGGGATATTGAGCATGACGTCAATAATAATAACATTGTCAAGATATTGATGTTCCACACTACTTCAAACAAAAGGTTATCAACATCTTTATTATATCATTATTTTCATTGATCTTAGAATGAGGTTGTATACAGGCGAGAATTTCTGAACTAGTTTGGTGCCATGCATGACAACCAATATGAAAGTCTTGATTTGATGCGGATATTTAATTCAAGTTGTAAGAAAATCAAGTTCTAATTGTCTTGGATTGAAGAGCTAATATTAAAAAGTGGACAGAAATCATGAGATTAAACCCAGTGATGATAGCTTATTGCAGAAAAATTTGGGTTCAAAATTTAATTCAAGTAATTAACTGATTCTTTTTTGCTGCTAAAAATCTTTTTTAGTTGACACGTACACTCTTTACAAAGATTTAATTTAAAATAATAATAATAATAAAGGCTGATTATCTATAACCCTTTGCTTCTAAGACACAAAAATGAGATTAACAAAAAAAAAAATTCTTATTTAGAATTGAAATCTGTTTATATTTCTGAACTATTTACACTATTACTTCAACCAACACTTTTATCCACTGGTCCATGTGGATAAAAGCATTGGCTGAAGTAATCCGAAAGTGATTTGCCACAAAGAGTTAGGAGTTCAATACCTGGCCACAACAGAGGTGGTTACTAAAAAAGGGAATTAACTGAAACCAAGATATCAAGCATGGCACGTGGAACTAGAACAATCTACTCATGTGGACCAGTTCGAAGTTCCAACGTATATCACCTGAAGAAGGCCTGAGTGTACAATGGCTGAAATGTTGAGAATATGACAAAGATGAGGACAACAGTCAAACAATATAAATAGAACTGAAATGTTTTTCTTAATGTGATATGAAAATTTTATTTCCTTCTATACACACGGGTCATTTTTTTTTTTTTTTTAGTTAACCATTTGCTTTGTAATCAATGTGATTTTTATTATTACAGCATTATTTACTTTTCTCATTATTATTATTCTTCAATGTTTTGATACCCTTTCTTTATTACTGTTCCATTACAGAGTATGTTTATGCCTGTTGTAATGAATAAAAAAAAAAAAAACATTTTACTACAAATAAGTGTCAAACATTAAACTGAATAGCTTCTTTGAAAAAAAAAAAATTATTGGTTGGTTAAGATAAGAACTAGTGTTTAAAAGGTTCTATGGTTCATAACCTGCCAGAGATCAACCAAATGTCTGAATATCAATAAAGATAATAACAGTAATAATAGAGAATGTTACTTGTTATTGGTTGGTATTGATTTTAGACCAATAATGTCAGTGCAAATACTAAGAGCATAACAACTAGCTCAGAATTAGTGTACTTATTTATCTTTAGCACATCTATTATATTTATATTTTTTTTATACTAATTACATACATACAAGAAGCTCCAGTCTAATGAAGGCTTTTGTAGAGAAAGACACACACAATGTACCACATGTAACCAAATTCATTCTCCTTTTGACAATTCTACAAATACATTTCCATGGTGACTAATATCTCATAAATGGGAAAATGATATATGAATTTTTATATGTCAAAGACAATTTTAGGGCAAAAACTAGAACAAAAAAATAGTGTGGAAAATTAAATAAAGGTAAAAGGTAAAGGATGAAATGAATCAGATCACATGAAAACACAAACTGCAATATTAGATTGCTTTCCTCCTTACTTGCAATATTTTAATTATTTGTTTCAATTCGGATTAATTAAACTTTAAATCAGCTAATTTTTGTAAACGTTTCAGAAGAGCATTTAATTTTTGAAAGATTTTTTTTTTAATAATGAGAATTATGTTGTGTGGACAGATTTGTCAATATAAGAAGAAAACGATTTCAATAAATTTAAATTCGGTTTGAAATACAAAAGAAAAAAAGTATTTTGCTTACTGGGAATATTAAATTTCTAAGCTTAGAATTTAAAACTAAAAAAAGCGTAAAAAGAAATATTTCCATGTAAAAATTAAAAACAAATGCATTTTAAATTAAAACCTTAGATATCATTTTTTTTTTTTTATTTTACCTAGGATTATTTTTAGGTTGTCTTTACCAAGCTGCTCCACCAAATAAACTATATTTTTGCAAGTTAAAATTTGATATAAAAATATACTAAGTAAACATTATACAACATTACAAAAAATGTGGGGTCCCTACAAGGCAAATAACTTTTTCGAACTGGTCATTTCACATGGCAAATGTTTTGTTTTTGTTTTCCAAACGTAAATAAACTTTACAGTTTACACCGAATACAAAAGATACTTTTAAAAATATATTAGTAATAAATTATTATTATAGATAACAAATTGATTTTTCTTTTACGGTTCGAAACAATATTGTCAAACAGTGTAAACCTTTTTTTTTTTCCTTGGGTTATAAAAAAAATTAAGAGGTGACAAAACACTCAACAGAAATTTTAAAACATAAACTAAAGTTTTGCACACATAACCTTGAATCAATTTATAAGGTTGAAAATAAAATTAAATCAACAGCCTTTCAAAAATTAGAAACAATTCATAAAAATACTTCGAATGTTCCATATTCAATAAAAAAAAAAAAAAAATTACAATCCAAATTTAGCTTAAATACCCGAAGGCGAATTAGTAACGTTACAATACATGATAAAGAAAGTTAATTATATTCCAAAAGGACCATTAAAAAAAAAATATCTCGATTCTAATTCCTTCAGAATATTATTTTTCGTTTTGTTGCTGTTTCGACGGAAGTGACTGACATTTTCTTTTGGGTCTATTTTTTTCTCCTTTAGCGAGTCTGGCAAAGCACAAAAAGTACTCACATCACATGGCCACCCGTCTCTGTCCAAAAAATCCATTATTACACGCTATTTCTCACAGTGAATATGAGTTTAAAAAGCAAATGGGGTTGGGGACAAATGTTAATGAATCAAACATCTCCACTGGGAGACAAATACTACAAAGTGTCGACTACGTTACATACAGTGTACGCAAACTTCCAAGCCTGGAGGCCGCCATATCACCAAAAACACAAGAGTAGAAACAATCACTGGAACGGAGCTTTCACTTTTTCGTTTCGGCTTTTTATTACTTTTTTTTCTTTAGTATAAAAAAAACAACATGAATTTGAAATATATTTAGATTTAACTGTATTTAATAAGAACAAGGATTTATCATCATTTATCTCGGTTAAGAGGGAAAGAATTAAACAAAAAGAAAATAACAACAAAAAATAGCTGATTTTAAATGGAAATGAAAACTGATTCTGGGAAATGTCAACATTTTTGAAGAAGTAAATATACTAGGAATGAATGATAAAATTTTTGTAACATATTTAAAAATCATGCATATGTAACTAGATTCAATAAATAAATGAATGTGGTTTGGCAAGTGGCTACCCAAAAACACAATGTTCCAATTTGGGTTTTAAAAGAAACCGATTATCACATCACCGTGCTGTTGTTGTGGGTCAGTTAACAACGTGACACTAATTCGGCTAAATCTACACATGAAAAATGATTTTTCATCGAATTGTCAGTTTTTGTGCTCGTCAAAGTAGAACTGCTGTTTCTATAAATCTTCCTCGTTTCATCCCAGTGCGTAAAGTTAGTTCTGCCAAATCTTTAAACGAAGAATTCCAGATACAATATTTGGACGGTGAGAATGAAGGTTAGTCTGTAGTCTGCTTTAGTTCTTTTAGTTTAAAAAAAAAAAAAAAAATACCGCTCCATTCATCTTTCCCTAAAATTAAATGTTTTGACCGCTCAAATTAAGTTTGGCTTATTTATGTTGATTGAATGTCTATCTACAAACAAAGGCGTGTTTGTGTTAAAGTTCAAAGAATACTTTTTACTCGGCAACGTGTGACGACGTGTCGTAGCATTAATAAACTTTATCACATGTTTAAAAGATTAGAGTAGACTATTAAATTAGTTAAATTTGTCTTGGTTTTCTTATTTTATTGAAATTGATTTTAATTTAATTAATCCAGTGGCAACTAAACCAGAAACTGCTTTCGGTAACCACAGGTCTATTTGTTACTTCTTGTAAAATTTATAAGTTGTAAGTTGACTAAAGTCTAAAAAGAAACTACCAAATAAATGCGAAGTAATTCGTAAGTTTTTGTCTTTTGCTTAAATAGTTCCTCGAAATCTGTACATTTAATAATTTATTTTTTATTGTAATGAAAATCTGAATCTCCCAATACTGCCCTCTTACTTTGCACAGTTGAATAATGTGGGTTAGATTTTTTTACCAGTACCAGGGAGCAGTGTTCACTCTCTGGTAAAAAAACAAAATTTTAAATACTAATTATTAACTAATTTTTCAAGGTAGGTAAGCTCCCCTATCTTGTCTTGAGAAATATTTGCACAATATATTTCTTGCTGTTCTATTTGACCTTGTAATAAATTAATTTATTTTTCTTTTTACTGTGCAATGCGCGATGAAATGGGACAGCAGTCCACAATACCCCCCCCAAAAAGTAATAACATTTAAAAATAAAATACATTGAAAATTTAACGCAGGGCCTATGGATAAAAAAAGCTGTCCCTCAAACCGAACGCTTTGTCCTAGAGAAGTAATTGAACTAAAAAAAACAAAAACACGTTGTCCAGAGGGTAACAGTTCAATTCAAACAAGAAGTGGTACCAATAGATGCGTGCTATCTTTCATAGTTTTCTACTCTGCTGTGGCAACGAGAATTAGAAATGTCCATGGAAGGCAGCAGATCATTTATTTTGGGTGGTAACCTGGATGTTGCCCAGAAAATAGTAGATAACCAAAAGGACCCGCGCCTCTTCGCTATAGAACAGTTGGCATACCAAAGAACCTGTTTTCTTTTTTCTTTCTTTCACTGGGGAATTGCTGTGGTACTTCTTAAAACTTTATTATTTTGCTTGTGATCTTTTTGCTGAATTTAGAGAACAGGAAATTATCGGATGTCACACACGTTTTTCATGTATCGAATATAATACTGAATTACCTCTCTTAGATTGCTTTACCAAACCTCAAACATTCTGGGACCGCGTCTTTTAAAAAGTATTGCCAGGCGTTAGAAAACCGGAAAGAGGCATCCCCAGATTTGCGGGAAAAAAAAAATCTGTGTGTATATATATCTCTATCTCGAATGTTATTTTTTTTTTGTTTTATTTTTGATGCCAGACTTTTCGTACTCAGAGGAGATAAATCCAGCTTTTAAATTATTTTTATTTTACAAAATCTCATTAGTCAAAGAAGTTGAATTATTTCCTTTATTTTTAAATTAAAAAGAAATATTTTTGAAAGTAGTAAAAAAAAAAAAAGCAGCAGCTGTCTAAGGGAGATAAGTCAGTATTTGGTGTGTGAAAAGATTTTGGTTAAGATTGAATTTCTCTATGCACATTTAAAACAATCTTTCAGCTGAGAAGTTGAATCCGTAACAAAGCAAAACCAATGGGCGAAATAGTTTTTTTTCCCTACAATGTTCGAACATTGTTAAAAACTGGAAAGGCTCTCATTTACAATTCTTATTTTCAAGTTTGAATTGACAGACTATGATGCTGAACAACACTAGGTATGGCATTTCCTTGTATGGAAATATTCGGTATTCAATGGTACTATCGGTTGAAATCTATAAAATCCTTCAATTAAAACTTTTTTTTTTTTTTCAGAAAATAGGTCTGCTAGCGATTGTTGTTCTTTCCAGTATTGATGGGTGTTTCCTTCCTAAACTTGTTTGAATTAATATACCACATTTTTCTTAAATGACTAAAGGGAAAAAAGATTTTGCAAATCCGTTTTTATGGAATTTGAAAACTGTTAATCCTTTTGAATTTGACATTCATAAGACATATTTACGGTAAGGGAGGCAGAGGGAAATGGAATAACCTACTGAAGAAGCTTGTGTAAATAGATGGTAGAATAGTCAGTTGGAGGTATAACAAAAAGACAAACATTGCTATAACAGATAGGAAGTAGTAAAGAGCCATGATTGCCTTTGTCCTGAAAGGACAAAGATGTGATATATTTAGTTAAACTTGATACCTGGATAAAAGCTACAACAAATACTAAGGAAATATATATATATATATATATATATATATATATATATATATATATATATATATATATATATTATTTTATTTTTTTACACACCTGTCAACCTCAGGTGAATATAGTCTACTAGAATGTCTTAGCTGATCTGTCTTATGAGTGCCAAATTCTCCAAGATCTCTTAGTGGGTCCTCTTGTTCCCTTAGACTAATCTTGATGTAAAGGTTGAATAAATCTGGTGAGAAACCCATCCTTGTCTTATTAGATTTAGGTTAGTCTCCTATTTGGCTTAACAGTTAGCATTCTTTTCTTTCTTAATCATGTTCACCCCAAGCAAGGCAGTAAAGCCACAGATGCAAGGGGTTACTGGATGTGGAAGAATTTGGAACAGAAACATTTAATAATGAACAGGAAAGAGTAATAAGGAGGACTGTGGATAGCGATTGACCTTGCATTTAAAATTTTGAAGATTAAAGTTGGCTGGAAAGCATGGCATTGGAAAGAAATTCCACAAGCAAGAAGTGCAAGAAAAGAAACTATTGTTAGCATGAAACTTATGGCTACATCTAGCCACCTCAATTGTAAATTGGTGAGACCTTGTTAACCAGTCTAGTCCTTCACTTAAACTTGAATAGTGTAGTCAATATAACAAAGAGTGTTATTTACTTGTAAAAATACAAAATGGGGAAAATGACAGTCTTCTTCTGTCTTAACATTAAACTTAGCTAGCCACAAACACTGACCCAAACATACAACAATATTCCTTACACCAAAACAATGCATTCTTACTTACCTTTCTAACTACATGCACTGTAATACCTCATTGTCTCCCTGAAAGTCCTAACTAGTCTCCTAATATACAATTCATTGTCTGTGGGGGGAGGGGAATAAAATAACAGTAGCAAAGAGCTCATCTGAACAATTACCATGAAAATATTTATAGAAAAGGCAATCAACTTACAGCAGTGGGAAAGTCACTGAAACACCAGATTGGGACTAATAATATTGCTCATTCTTCTTTGGACTTTATCAAGGAGCTCTAGATAGATAGCAGGAGCACTGGACAATATGTGACAGCAATATTCTATGCATGGATGAATAGTAATCTTATAGATATGCAGACTCGGGAGAGAAAAACTTCCAAGCAGCTGACTTAGCAATGTATTCAATATAGTCTTTCCACTTTGTCAGCTGAAAACATTAGCAGCAAGTCCTGGAGGTTAGCATCAGCCATACTCATAGAAGGCAGAGATGGTTCTCTCAGATGATTAATAAAGAGTAATTTAGTTTTGGAAGCTTTAAAATTAACAAAACATCCTTTGCCCCAGTTAACAACAGACGGAAGGTTGTTTTTAGTATCAGCTGCCATTTTGACCTTCTCAAACTGGTCAAACTTATCAAGGTTGGAGTAAATGGTTGTGCCATCATTTAATTACTGTACAGGATATCCTGTTGATCCATAATTTTTATTGAAATTTTTCTACTTTACAATTAGCTTATTTCCAATACTTATTTCATTATCTCATCCCTGCTCTGTCAGCAGGGCATAGAATGTGCTGACTGTATCCCCCTACAAAGGTGGGGGTCTCCCAAAAGACTAAATATTTACAGATTCAAATATAAATTGATATTTAGCTATTGCTGACCCAAGTAAATGCTTATAGATTTAAATATAATAATTTTAAGAGGAGTGAGAAGAACGGAGAGAATAATTTTGATGTTAAATATCCCAACAAAGGTTGACATTAAATCAACCAAGGCAGCCCAACCACCAGTTGTTAATTTCTAAATTTTATAAATGTCTAGGGCTTGGGCCACATCATGCTGAAACACTGGTTTCCTGTATGATCACCAAACTTAAGGAATGTTGAGCCTGGTCAGTACCTAGATGTGTGACTGGAAATACCAGATGCTGTAAGCCTGGATGTGCAGGTGGTGTAATTGATAATGCTCCAAATTGTTAATTGGAGAACAAAGTTCCAATTCCCATTCAATAACTTTGGGAAAAGTATTAATCCACCCTTCAGCTATGGGTTAATTAGTAAGAAAAAAAAAGAAAAAAATTCTTACAATCTAAAAAATATTTTCTGGCTTTAAATAACCTGCTAAAGGTTGATAACCTGTAGAAAACCAATTGATAAATCAATATAAATGTGTTGTCCTGGGTATGACTGTAAACTACATCTGTTTTCATGGTGTGATGGCTGGTGGCATGGCTACTAGAGAGAGAATTTGTTCCTGCACTATTTTCTTGGCCACCAAGAATATTGAATATTTGCTACAATTTTTAAAATACCATACTAAAAGTTTGCCAATAATATTAACATTATTTTAAATGAATTTTTGCAGTAAATAGTATTCTTATTTGGTATTTTATTAAGATAAAATGTAAAACATGATTTTTTTTTTCTTTTTAAATACTGTAATTTCTAAATTATAAAAAATCTGCAATTTTGGTTGTTAAATGACTAAATTAATATCCCTTGTATGGACAGCAGGTGTGCTTGTAAAGGGCCACACGTTTGACATGCCTGCCCTAAACAAACCTCAGATCAACCCTTAACACATTTATCAAAGAATAATGCCAGAAACTATGGACCAGCTATACAACAAATTATATAACATCAAACCTACTATAAAAGAATGACATCAAAAACTAAAAAGAAAGAAAGATGATGTAATAATGACCAGACTTCATATCAAACACTCCATGATAATACATTCTTATATTCTAAAACAAGAACCACATCCATTCTGTACAGCATGCCAGGAACTATACACCATAAAACACATACTAACAAACTGTAGAGACTTCACCCAAATCGGTTTAAGATACTACCAAACAACCAACATGAAAGAACTCTATAAGAATAAGGGTCAAGATGTCTCCTGCATCCAGATTCCTTTGTGAGGCAAGCCATGTGGTTAAGATTTTGGCCAACCAGTTGACATGTGTCCTCCCAATCTTGTGAACTTGATAACTCGATATTAATAAGTATAACTCGATATGAGTTGTCCCCCTTTCATTAATGCCTCTTAATCGTGTTTTTAAATTGATTTCATGCAAAAACAATTGTTTTTCCAATTTTTGGCACTGTCAGAACCACCGCAAGGTAATTTTACGTCGTTCTGTGAAGTTTTGTTGAAATCGGTTGAAAAATGTAGGAAATCCGATCCAATATATAAACGTACAGACACACACACAATCTGCGTTTTATAATACGTAAGATTAAGACTGTTTTAAAGATTAAAATCTATTATTATACAACTTAACAATTATTAATTAATGTTGCAAAAAAATAGTATTTATTGGATCAGTGAAAATTATAATTGTTTTCTTTTCATCAGCAGAATATGTTTGAAATGAACACAGATTTGATACAGTTTGTTAGAAGATCAGCACGTTTATATGCACCAAAAAATTTTGCAGATTTACAATAAATGTAAAAGAAAAATTATCCTAAACTGACTGAAGAGGTATTTTAATCTTTAGAAAAAAATGGTGGTGGTGGTGGTGGTGGGGGGGGCAAAGTATTTTCTATATTCCTCAGCTAAAATGACCTCTGTTTTTGCAGTTTAAATGTTGTTTACAAAACTTTTTTTTTTTTTTACATTTAATTCACAAAGTGAATATTTTAGTAAAAAACCTATAAGAGATTATCTCCCCTTCATCAGTCTTTTGTTTCCGACATAGATTTCTTGGCCAGTAAATCAGTATTTAAAAAAAGAAAAGTTAATTATAAAACGAAAATTGAAAAACTCGGTCAAAATAGGATCACATTTTGAAATTAGATTTTATATTAAGAAAAAAAAAATTATTTTGCTTTTCTCTTTTCTTTATTAGGGATTGCTGTTTTTGCTATGTGCCGACCAAAAGCTAAAAATGCCTTTAGCAAAAAAATGGTCCAATCAGTAAGTAATTTTTATTTATTATCTGCTTACTTTTTGTTAGATTTTAGCCTCTAATTTGATGGGTATATAAATACAATTAGTCTGAAAACTTATTTCATCGTTTCTATTTAGCTTAAAAAAATTAATATTCGTTAACTTAAATAGTAGTTAAAAGTTAAGATTTAGAATCTAAGTTATCTCCCTTTCATCTGTTTTTACTGTTAAAATTTATTGTAGCCTCATGACAAGGGCTTAGTCCCCGCCCCCAAGGTAGCATCTTCTCGTTGCACTAAGAGGGTAAAATACAGAGACACGTTCTGATGTCTTTGGCATTTGCTAAGAAAACCCACAATAAAGTTAAACTTTGATCAAGTACTATATCAGATGTTACATTCTGTTGTAGAATTAAAGTTTTTTTGTCAGTCATGCCTGAATATATCTGAATCAAATTCTTTGAATAAGCATTAAATGGTACTTATTTTTACTTAAAAAGACTTCTGAAATATTAGATTGCTGATATCTGTGTAGGGTTTTATATACATTGAAATCAAAATTGTGAATAGACAGCCTAAAAGTTCGTTTTTGAGTACTTTTGACTGTCATCATCAAGCACTGGATGTTATCAGATTTTTTTTTAGCTACATGCTGGTATTTTTTTTTTTTAATTTATCTCTACAGTTCAAGTTTGATTTAAATATGCGTAATGCATGTGACGTCAAATGTAAAATAGTTCATCTGCAACTGAATTTGTTTATAAGATGCTTCAGTTCTCCTAAATTTTGATTTATTTCATATACTGCAAAACTCTTGACTCATTTATTCTTCTGATCTGGCTTCATTATCATTTTGAACGAAACACATAATTTTTTTTATCTACCACCTGCATTTTTATGTCATCCTCAAATTCAGGCCCATGTAGGGTTGGGTAACAAAGATTGTGTTTATTTTTATTTTTACCTGTCTTTAGTTGATCTTCTTGCTGTCACCAGACATGTATCCTATTTTTTATTTTATTTCAGTAGATTTCTGGGCAACAAAGGTTATTTAATGTTAAATGTCTAAAACGACAAGGGCAGTGGAAAAGTCTAAATCCCATTTTACAAATCCAAAAGTCATGAAAGATGAGTAGTATAGAAATCGGAAATCAAAAGTCCAACTAGCAAAATAAAATAGGGTAAAAAGATTCAACTCCCAGATTCAAACTCGCTCTTGCTCATGAACCAAAAGATACATGTCTCTGCAATGGCTTTTCTTGAAGTAAATTTGGATTGATCGCAATAGTTGGGAAGGATGAAAAAAAGAAAAAAAATTACTATGTGAGACAGTAATTATCTAGAATTTTTTTTTTTTTTTTTTTTTAGGCAAACTGTGCACAGGACACTTTTTTTGTGGAAGGGGATTTTACTGTTTGCCAAAGTTATGATTATCATATTTTTTTTAATTTTTTTTTCATGTTGATCATCTTGCCGTTACCAAATCGGTTGGGCTTCAATCCTGGCTTGAGGCATTCGGATGTCTAATTGCACTGAAGAGGTGTGAAACAGTACTGTCTGCAAATGACATAATTTAGCTCTTGAAAATATGTTTTCAGTTGAGCACTGTTGAATGACAAGCTAATTCAAAAAACAACAACAACCACCTGCATTAATGCGAAGCTCTTCAGTAAAATGAATGGAGCACTCTGGCTGTTTGACATTTGTTTACATTTGTAAAAACAATATGCTAGATTTGGCTGGCTCATTCTGCCGAGGGAAGATAGCTCAGTGGTAGGAACTGACACCAAATTGGTTGGGTTTCAATCCTGGCTTGAGGCATTCAGATGTCTAGTAGCACTGAAGAGCTGTGAATGACAATCATATATATATATATATATATATATATATATATATATATATATATATATCATCCACAGACTGTTTTGCAGCTCATCAGTATGGCTAGACATCCAGTTGCCTCATACCAGGATCAAAACCTTGCTGATTTGTTATAAGTTGGAGACTTTCCCCCTAAGCCACTGGTGCATGCTAAGGATGAATGTAAATTTAGACCAATTTATTTTTAGATAGATGCTCTTAACAGAGAGTCTTCCATCAGCAGCATCAATAGCCACTGTTTACAAATTCACTTCTGCTAATCTGGCCTTATTAATTAACTTTTTGTCAGAAACACTACTCCTTGATTTCCTCTGATCTATCACCCATTATTATTATTATTATTATTATTATTATTTTTTTTTTTTTTTTTTATTTGTCATCCTCAAGTTAAGGTCAAATGTTACCGCTCTCTCTCTTTTTACACTATCCTTTTGTTGATCATTTTGCTGTTAGTAGATATGTATTCACTTTTTTTTTTTTTTTTAAATAGATGGAGGTTCAAAAACGTATGCTTTGTTCCCATGCTCCTTAGCAAAGTCTATCAATTTTAGTTTGTCACAAATGCTTTTTGCTTAATCTCTGTCCTCAGGGTTCTTAGGGGTAAAATTCTGTAAACTCAACCACCACTGGTGTTGTATGTTCTAATGTCTTATATACCATGAAATATATATATATATATATATATATATATATATATATATAATTTCCAAGAACAGGAACATCAGAAAGATGCATTAAAAAGCACTTAAATTTTTCTTTTTCTTTTTTTTTTTTTCTAAAACTGGTTTTGTCCTGGAAGTATCCACTTATATTTTCTGTTATTTTTATAGATACAAATATTTGAGTAAATGCTTTGTTTATAATAAACAGAATTAACAATATTTACTTGCCTGAATGTCTGAGAAATTTCATAGAAAATATGTATCCTCTGACAGCAATCAAACCTGCATCCTACACAGAATTGTCATATAGCCTAATGTTCTATACTATTTAGCTACAGAGGAAGCATCTGTTTAGCAAAGTCAACATACTATGAAATTTCTCAGAGATTCAGGCTGGTAAATGTAGTTAATACTGCATATTATAAACAGTATTTAATTAAATATTTGTATTTATAAAAATAATGTATAAACAGAAAATATATTAAAATAATTGCTGGACTTGGTCCATTTCATTTTATTTATATATATATATATATATATATATATATATTATATATATATATATATTTATGCGTGTGTGCTAAGAAATAGTTGTGTGGCATTGATGTAATTTGATAACTAATCAGAGCAGAATTGTTTTGGCTTCTTCAATTTGCAAGGAGACACCATTGAGTGAGCTTGTGTATTATGTAACCATTTACATTGAATATATATGCATCACTTTAATATGATTCACTGAGCAAAGCCCAGATAAAATATTGCCATTGATGTATCAAACTTTTCTGGGAATCTGTTGAATCTTCATTTTGTAAAACAGAATAACTGAAAATCTAATCAAAGGAAATTGCTTCATGTGCAGTGTGAGAATTAGAAAAAAATCTGGGGATTCCATAGACTGTCCAGAAAGCATCCAGCCATTTTGAATATCTCAACTCGCTGCAGGCTAGATTTAAATCCCTGCAATTTCTGTCTTGTTCCAAAGATAAAACTGTCATTGGAAAAATGAAATTTCAGACTGTAGAAGAGATTAAGGAGAATGTAATAAGGCAGCTGATGGTGATCTCAAAATATGGTTTTTCTGGAACGTGGTAAGAACATTGAGATAAAATGTATGATGTCTGAAGGAAAATATTTTGATAGTAAATAATGTCTCATTGTCTTTTATTTTTTTTAAATATTAAATGACTCAGTCATTTTCAAACTGACATATTGATAATTTGAAGAATCACTGTCACTTTCTGTGTTTGTATTCATTCTGGATAAAATTAATGCGTATCGTAATTTTCAGTTTGCAGAAGCTGTGGAAGTTATCAAGTTTGACAAGCAAATACGAACTCTGATTGTGAGAAGTGCAGTTCCTGGAATATTTTGTGCAGGTAATATCACAAAATTAAAAAAAATATTTTCTTTTTATGGAGCATTTACATATACAATTTATTTAATTTTTTTCTTAAAGCATTTGAATTTCTGGGATGAGGAATTATTATTTATGCTATTAACATGTGAACTATTGTCCCCATTTTTGTTAAGCTTATGGCCACATCATTTTGTAACCCTGCTTCTCATACAATCACCTAAGTTAAGCAATGTTGAGCCTGGTCAGTACCTAGACAGCTAACTACTTCGGAATGCCAGGTGCTGTAAGTGAGGATGTGAGGATGGTGTAAGGAATAATGGCTTGGAATTGGTAATCGGTGAACCGAGTTCCAATTCCTATTGGGTTCGTTATATTCACTTGCATGCAAATATACTTGGAAATTTATGAATCCACCACATTCCCCTAGCAATGAGTTAATTAGTAAGACTTGTATCACTAAACCATTATTATTTCCCCCTCCCCCAATATTCTTACAATCTAAAAATATTTTCTAGCTTTAAATAACCTGCAATGGGGTGATAAGCTGTAGAAAATGAATTGAAAAAAAAAAAAAAAAAACTTTGTTTCAGCCATTGTCCTCCAGCCTTCATCAGGGGTGTGCTGATTCAGGTAATTCTTAACTGAATCCTTTATTTAATCTATGGGGGTAGATTAGATTGTTCTTGTTCCCCTGACCATGTCTCTGGATTACTTCAACCAATGCTTTTATCCACTCGGCCATGCGTCCTTGGAGAAAGAAGTCAGATATCAAGTATAGCTGCGAGCTACAAAAGGTAGGAAAATGTGGAGAGCCATGATTGCCCACAGTACATAAAGAGCTAGCTAAAAACAAAAAAAACCTCCCAACTTTTCAGCAATTCAATGTCTCTTGTGTCTCTTTGATGATGGCCGACCTTTTTATTTTTTTTTTTATCTAGTTTTTGAGTTTAAATCTTGTTTAGTTCTTTGTAATATTCCTTTTTTCAAGTCCACTTCATTGACGTATTTTTATTATTTGTTAGGAGCCGATTTAAAAGAAAGAGTAACCATGTCACCAGAGGAAGTTGGTCCATTTGTATCAAGTTTGCGGTCAATGGTGACAGAAATTCATCACCTTCCCATGCCCACAATTGCTGCTATGGATGGAGCTGCTCTTGGAGGAGGCTTAGAACTAGCCCTTGCCTGTGATATGAGAATTGCTTGTGAGTAGAGAACATTTTCATTTTTCCATAATAAGTGTTTGGTTTTGTATCCCTAAATAAAATTTAGAATATTAAGTTTAGATGTTTCATTGCTTGAAATTTCTCCCTCTCTATGGATGTACATGTATGTTTAAGTCATGGATGTTCAGTCTTAGGTGTGTTATTAGCAAATATAAGTAAAGCTGGTAATTGTTCATTCAATACAAGGCTCAAGAACTACTCAAGGTAGAGAGTTACTGAATGAGATGAAAGTGGAGGAAGAGGCACAGATTAACAATTGATCCGTCACTTGAAGTTAAGATTGTAGTTGTCAGGGAAGCATCCTTTCAGGAGTTTGTTCCACAAAGTGACAGTTCTGGGGAAGAAGCTGTCTGAGTGAAACCTCCTTACCAAAGAACTTGTAGGAAAATGAAATAAAATCATAATAATGACTAATAAAAGAAATACATTTTCCCATGATGCTATTAATAAAGGAAAAGGAAATTTTATTACCCTATTTGGCTTCATTGGTGGTGGTGTTGTTTAAAATGAACATTGTCTTTTCTTCTGTTTTTTTTCTTCCCATTGCTCCCTGGTCTGCTGATGACTGAACTCTCTTTTCACTTTCCAATGCATGGTGTTCACATGTGTCTTCCAAAACCTCCACCTATGAAATAAACATTTTCTTTGGTTGTTCCAACTTGGTGCAAGGCTGACTAGAGCTTGACCCATTATAGCGATGCTTATATTTACCCTAATTGTTGGACCAAAAAGTAAATGGACATACCCAAAAACATTGAGAACTTTGTTTCACTATAGTTTATACAATGAAAGAGAATAAACAGTCCATGGTAGAAACTCAAGATTTTGTATGCTTTTTCTTTGATAACATGTGAACACACTCCCATCTACAAAATACACCCAAACTCAACTGCTTAAATTCCATAAACTTGGTTTTTTTCCAAGTAAATCTGTTTAATGACTCTTAACATTTACAAAATTTACCAGAATAAAACTGGTATTCTTTTAGTAATATTATCTGGAATTTTTATTAGAGAAAGCATTGTTAATCATTAATCATTTTTGAGTAGTATTTCTTTCATTTTAATTATATTTTCTTTATTTATACTAGTAGTATAAGAATTAATTATGTTGAATTTTTATTAGTGGAAGTATTGTCAATCATTATATTTTTTGACAACTATCTTAAATTAGGTATGTTTATGTGGTTTACAATTTAAAACAAATTTTGCTTTTAAAAATTAGGTATCCTAAAATTCTTCATTGAGAAGAAATTTAAAACAAATAAAAAGATAAGAAAAACTATTGTCATGTCCATAAAAAATAAATAAATAAAAATTAATTATAGTGTCAAAAAATAATTGTTATAATTATCATTATAAACCAATGAGAATCAACCACACCTTTCTCCATTACATACTTGTGTGTATATATATATATATATATATATATATATACGCACACACACACAACATTCTCGCTATCAGACAAGCAGTTTACATGGACAGGTTGTCAACATGTGCGTTAACAAAAATTTCATCTACTTTTCCAGACCATAATAGTAACATTTATTTTTTTTAGCACTCAACAAAAATTTGAGGTAAGAAAACCCCAGACAGTTCTTGTATTTTCCAGGTAAATTATCTGGGCACTCATTACATACACCTATAAAAGAACTTCTGAGAAAGATTTATGCATTTTACTTAATCTTTTATAATTCTGTCAGATTTCAATCCATATTTGATTACATTTGACCCCAAACACACAATTTTACTCAGTATTTATTGGTGTCTCTCATCTCTCTCAACAGCACATAACCAGATTATAAATAATACTTGTTTTGTTACCATGTCTTCTTGTTTCTCATTTTTAGGAGTATTTCTGTATTTGTTGGGGGGGGTTATAATTATTTACTCAGTTATAACCTCACTACACTATCAAGAATTAAAAGAAATGGAAATGAAAACATCTTTTTAGACTCTCATACCCTGTCAGAACTCTCCAATTCTTTAACTCAAACAGATGTACTCACTACAACATCCACAGCTTATAAAGCAGAACTTAATTTCATTTGGCTGTGTGCACCAACTTCTAGAATACCATCCAACAAATACCAGAGTGATAAAACTTCTTTTCTGACCAATCAGAAAAAGGAAAAAACAGTTAAATGGCTTTCACAGCACTAACTTGCGAAAGCCAACACTGGTTTCACCCATGAGAGCTGATCCAACCTGGCTGGCTTTTGCAATGGACTCTATGCTAGGCCAGCAGCAACACCAAGTCACTTCTATCAACAGCAATGCCTTTGGCCAGTAACACAATCAGCAAAAGTTGCAGAGATGCTCAACTCTGACAATGTGGTAATTTGTTGAATATTTATCCCACGAGTCTCTCAACTACATTCATATTGATTTTCTCAACTTGTCTATCTTGAACTCTACTGTGTGTTATACCCTGAACAACAACTCTGTCTCCTATTACTGATATATGATACCCAAGAATGAACAAGCAATTGAACCTTGTAAATCAGAGGAAATAAAATCTCTTACTTTTTGGGGAAGAGAGTGAGATAGTTTCCCCACTGCCTTTTCGATGTTTTGGAATTTAGTTTTTTAGCTTTATGCTACCACTTTTTCATCAATGTCGATTTTCGTGCTAAAAGTGGATCACAGCTTCATACATGTTTCTGAAAACCTGAACTTCTCATTGGACAATAAATATTAAAATTATCTCATATATCTTCACATACATTGTTCTCAATAAGCAACACAAAACATATCAGGCTCCAGACTGAGTTTTGTAAGGCGCTTTCTGAGCGGTTAACAAATATTAAAAAAACAATTTACCTGCTCACCACTACATCTGAATAACATCAACCTAGTTTTTGACCTGACGAAAAAACAATGCTCTCAGGATCCTATCACGTGATTAAAAAACATAAATTGAAGGTACGAGCGAACCCAGTCGGTGAGAATTTACGACGACTAGCATTTGCTAAATGAGTTCATGATGCTTGTATCATTACTGCAGAGAAGTACAAAGTTAGAATCTCAAGTTCTTTAACATGAAATAACTTTGCTGTAATTCAAGCTAAAATATCAACATAACAACTCACTCACCAACTTCTGCAACTTACTAAAAACTATTCAATTACGTTATTGAATCTTAAGTAAAAACAATTACGAACAATACTTTCAACTACGAGCAACGAAAACAAATTAGACATTACGGAACATTTCTTTGAAGCTAAAAGTTTATCAACATATTTTCAGCTTTACAAGATTCTTTAAACTCTTTGAGTGAACATTTTGAATGACAGGATAATTCAGCTTTTTGTTAGCTCAGGTAAAAAAATTATTTATTAGTAAAGACTTTAGCCCAGTCAAAGGGAAGTAACTCATATTAATAGTTATTGTAAAACTGTTGTCATTTATAAATATAAATATTGTGCTTGTTATGAAAAGTTATTTTCTTGTGTTTTTTCTCTTGTTTGCTTTTGTTTGCTTACACATTCGTAAAGTAAAAAAATGTGCAGGTTGATTTATGCCGTCAATACCACTACAGTTTTCTTTCTTTGAGACCAGTTACCAGCCAAGGCCAAAGAGCCCAGTCTACCTTGTTATTTAATCCATAGATTGCTACTTTTCTCAATGGTATTTGTGCAAAAGTGAGCACACCTGCCTACTCTAGAATTTGAACTCAGCTTGCCACTTCCACTGATATAACTCTGTGCATAGCCAGATATTAGAATTCTAAAATCCAGATTTTCTAAATACTGATAAAACTATTTAAAAAGAGATTATATAGATGTCTTTATTTCAGTTATGCGAGTGTTTTGAAAATGATGGCTGAAATTTATTTGATGGGAATGATGGCTGAAATTTATTTAAGGCTGATCCAATGTCATCTAAGATGAGTATCTTACCATAATTATAAGCCTTAAATTTTCCATTTAATGATTAATGGTATTGCTTTATGCCAATTAAGATGGATTTAATTCACATAAATCCAAAATACTCTCTCCTAATGGCATATCAGTATTCTGATATCTCAAATCTAAAAAAAATTTTAAAAAAAATGATTTATCAAAAAATGTGTAGATTACCATCTTTAAAATTTATAAACTGCTACTTAGGAAAACCATATGTAAATTTTAATATGCCAAGAACAATTTTAGGAAAATCTTTTAACAAAGTTGAAAAAGTGAAGAGAAAAAAGATTAAAAATTTCTGCATCCCCCACTCCTTCATGTGCATGTGTAGTCACATCAATGTAAATGTCCCTTTAGGCTGATGAAGTCCTAATGAACAAAACTTTACACAAAAAACATTTTCTACTTTGTCATAGATTTTCCTAAAATTACTATTTCCAAATATGTGTTTCTGAGAATGATATAGAACATCACAAAACTACAAGTGTGTAGTACCCAATGAGGATTGAACTTGATTCAATACTAATGGTGTGCACTACTAGATTTTTAACTATGTTAACATGTTAAGTTGTTGTGTATATGGATTTTGATTCAAGGATGTGGTCTCAGTTTTTAAATGTTTGTTTTATTTAATATATTTGATACATTTAATCTTTTTTTTTTTTTTTCCAGCTACAAATGCCAAAATGGGGCTTGTTGAAACACGACTGGCAATTATCCCTGGAGGAGGTTAGTAAATATCACTTACTGGCTTCACTTGAGTATCTTTCATATTCATTCTTAATTATTGCTGTATTTCCTGTATGCTAAGATGCTACAAAGTGGTAAGATGCACCCTGTAATTGGGGGAAAAATATTTGCATATTTAATAGTTTGCTATACTAGCAAGTAATAGTGTATAGAAGTCTGGGCAGAGGATGTGTTGGCCTTGGGCATCCATATCGGGAGAGCATCCTATCAAAGAGTGAAATAAAAATTTAGTTTTTGAAATTTGAAATTCTCTGTTAACGTCGTTCTACAAGCGCCCTACAATCCCACAATCTGGTGTAAATGTGGATCCGTGTTTTGATAAGCGGGACTAGAGTATGTCCCCCCTACTTGAGTCTTAGAGGCACATACACTCAAGGTGTTGGCCGCCAGTATCACCGAACCTCTTCATGTCACTGTTAGCAAGTCTAAATTAGCAACTTTACAGTCTTGTTTTTCTTTGTCATAACAAATTATCACATTTTGGGCCTATTAATACATATTTTTGGTTGTTATTAATTAGATTTTAAATAGTTTAGCACAATGTTGTACTTATTCACATCAGAAACAACTTGTACTTGCTATCACAAGCCACTTCAACACAATTTGTTTACATCCATCTTCAAGCTGATGTTTTAGGGCAGCCTATTGAACAAACTGATTTGTTTCAATAGTACACCAAGTGTGGTAATAGGGTTAGTATTCTTGGGGGACATATGAAATGTAACTGTCAGCTGGTATTACGTTTGTAAAGATACTGTATGGTATGACTAGATGAATGAAAGACTTATATTACTAGTAGGAAGCTGCCTACTAGTTATCATCAATACTCAAAAAAACAATATATATGGTATTATACTAACAGGATATATGGTATTTATTACATATAAATTATAATTGTAGCCTTAATGTCTTGGGTTCATGATTGCTTGTATCTCATGACTGGAGTTCATGAAGGCTGACAAACTCCTCACTTCAACTTGATCTTTCAATAGTAGGACAAAATTTGAGGGCATTTTCAGGAAAAAATGTGTTAGAATACAAGGAATATAGTACCTATTTATTCTATTATTTTTTATTTTTGTTACTGGAATACTTTGGGTGGAAGGAGTTAGATTTTGTTATAAAATCATTAACAAAATCCCTTTGTACACTATTAAACCTATAAAGGCTATAAGAGAAATTTCTTTGTCCTGAATCTTTGACAGTAACAAGGATTTTAATAAGAAAATGTGTAACTATTGATGAAAGCACTGAAAGTAATGATTGTTCTGAAGTTATTTCCCCAATATGTTGCAATTAAAAAAAAAAAAAATCCAAGTACCAAATGGTATAAACAAATTTTGTTTTTGTGAAAATAAAAATTTTTGTGAGGTCATTTATTCCAGTTTTAACATCATGAAATTAAAGTTTATCGCTAGGGTATAAAATATCGTTCGATTTGAGTCTTGTAACAATTTAAGAAACACGTCATTTCTATTTAAGAGGAAACGAAAAGGATCTTTAAAATAGTGCAAGGGATTTAACTTGAATTATTTCCCTTGCACACTTTTCTGAACCTAAATATGTTTAGCCATCAAAATCGGTATAAATAAACTTCAAGCGTTATTAATAGAATTTTTAGAATTCATTAAAATATTAAAAAAAACAAAAACAAAGAAGATATTTACATTTTAATTGTTTTTGTAAGAAAAATATTAACTTTATTCAGAATATCAATTTAATATTAACACTTTATTTTGATAAAATTGAAAAAAATTAAACTAAAAATTATTTCCCTTTTTTGCCGATATTTTTCTCCCACTTTGGCAATGGGTCATCAGCTTCATTTACTTTGGTGTCATAGCTTTTTAAAACAATAAACATTGCTGAGGAGTGAAGGTAGTTAAAATAATAGTAGTGTCAAGGGAAAAACTGTCCTTTTGAAAATTTGTTGTTTTCTGGGCATTTTTCTTCAACATTTTTATTATTCAAAAACGGTTTTATACAGAATGAAAATTCAAATACTGGAAATATATAATGTGATGTAAATAGCCTCCATTTACAATTTCATAGAAACGTATTCTTTTAATAACAGTTGCTAATAACTGACTGCAGCTCTCAAATTTCTGTACAGATGTTATTCTTGAATAGCTGAATTGCTTATGGTTTATAGATGTATACACATTCCTTAAAGTATTTCTAAAGGAAATAATTGGGAAGTTTCATTTCGGGAGAAGATGGTGGTTATTAAATTTTTAAGTTTTGTGAAATTATCCAGTGATCAAAAGTTTAGTTAAATCCAAAATAAAATTCCATAATTTTAATTCTTTTAGTTGTTGGTCTCCCTGTGTTAATCTCTGCATGTTGGTCTCCCTGTGTTAATCTAAGTTCTGAGAAAAAAAATATGTATGAAAAATTTGATATGCTATAACATTTCTAAATATGATGTGACTTTTGTGTATTTTGTTGAGTACAAAAAGATAGAAAAAAAATATACCTTTCTAAATTTTATTAATTCCTTTATAAAATTGGATATTTTTCTTTTGCTGGTGAAAATGTGTAAAATATACAATTATACTGGAAACCATCTGTTCTAAGCTGAACTCTTCATTTAAAATTTTGGAAGTAAAACCTGTTATTTATAAAATGTCTGTAATAACATTTGTAATAAAGATTAGAATCATAGCTTAACAGTTTCTAAAACCTGTAATATTTATAATGTTCATATATGTACATTATATATGTTCCAAAGGTTGTCTTAGCTGGGGTGGGGATAGTGGGGACAAGCTCCCACTGTCTATGAAATTCTTCTGTGGATTTATTGGATAAATTATACATTTTATGCTTTATTCAATATTTTAAATGCTATAATAAAGTTTTCTGCACTTTATATGCTTTATTGGTTGTCATAGCCGGAGGTGGGAGGAGTGATAGTAGGAACAAACATCCATAGTTTATGAAATGCTTCCTTGATATACATCTCATAGCCTTTGACAATTATATCCAGTTCCAAGCCGGAAAAACTGGTGCCTCATAACCAGCTGCTTCGGGTAGATGGAGCTTGATGAGAAAGGCAGTATATCTCTGGGGAAGGAAAACATTCATCATTTTAAACCTCTGCTGTCTTGTGGTCATATCCAAACATCGAAAAGGCTATGGAAGTAAAACCAGACAGAAAACCTGGTGTGGGGGCCCCGAAGGTGGTTAACAGTGGTAACTTTCTGACAACTCCTGTAGACAAGCCATCTCCAAATATAATGCTCTGTATTCCTTTGGATCTTGTTGGTATGGCCAAGAGAGGGGCCGGAGGGGGGGGGGGGCTATGGAGTCTTGGCAGCACACAGCCTCCATATACAATCACCCAGGCCTGTGCCCTGGAGAGGTCACTCCAGTTTCACCAACAAAGGACTGAATTTTGACTAAAGACGGTGCTACCTTTTATCTCTCAAGATAAACAGATACCTAATATAGTAGCATAGAAATAAAGACAAATGATGGCATGTCTTCAGTAGCAGCCGTCTGTAACAAAGCTTCGGCAGCATTTATCAGCAGGCAGGTTAGGTTTAAGGCTCCAAGTTCTCCACAGAGAACTGTCCTACAGAACAATGGAAAGAAGTTGAGCAATAACTGAGCAGTACTAAAAATAAGAATTAGACGGAATATTCCTAGACATGGGCAGTGGAATGAGAAAAATCTACCCCCATTTGGAATTCTCTGTAGGTTATCCAGATTGATATTCACGCAATAAAGTTTGTGATAACAACAACAAACATGAGGACAATAGGACATAAATAGCATAAATAATGATAACCCCCTCATCCCAGAAATTCAGACAGAAATTATGAGAATAGTAGTTTGAATAAATTAAATTATATTGACTGTTCTTCATCTCAATACAATACAAAAATGATCAAAAGCAGTATGAACCTGATTGATAGGATTCCAAACATTTAGCAACAACACATCTTTTAAATGAAACATATAACATATAAGTAGAAGCAGAATCTCAGTTGAAATAACATTTATGTATTCTTTTCGGAAATATACAATACAATAAAATCTTAAATTTTCCTTGCAGTGAAGTTTTTTTTTTTTTTTTATAAAGTAATTAAGTGTTCTTAGTGCTATGTGAAATGTGTAAACATTTATTTTATGTCTGTGAACCTAATGAGTTTGTAGACAAAGGCTTAGTAGGCAGTTGCTGATTAATCCTTTCTATTGTGCGTGTGGATAAGACTTTAGTCGGCAGCTGCTGGCTGTCTCTCTTCTATTGTGTGTGTGTGTGTATACACCCGTATATATCAAAGTGGCTCTGAAATTGTTTTGAGCTTCAAGAAGCAATAGGCTTCTATTTTTTATATCTGTAAGGGGATTCAAAATCTAATTTCACATAGGTGTGAACTTTTTGAATACAAGGTTTTTGTTGGTTAGTAAATAATTTCACACTGGCTCACAAAAAATCTTTTTTTCTTGAATTTACGTGAGAGGTGAAAGGAGTTATTGCTATTTTCTGAATGCCCCAAAAATAACATGTGGTAATTCTATGTCCGCAAGTATTTCTGCAGTATTTGCCCTTACATCGCATCCTGTATATATAATAATAAAGTTGATTAGTTTGAATAAATTAAAGCATATAGTTCTTTACTGTTTGTTTGCTAAAAGCATTGCTCCAAATATTGAATTTGTGTTCATTGCAGATTTGGCTAAGCTTGAACATGTAGAATTATAAAATAGTCAAACTAGGAGTTGAGAGGCTTTCTATATTTGTCTAAAAATGTAGTGGAAATTTAATAAAATAATATTTCAACTATTTAAATGGCAAATACTATCTAACTTGAAATTAAATATTTATTGCTATAAAAGTCTGTAGTGGATGTGTTAATCATATGGGTAAATAATTGTTGAGAAATAGGCTGCGTGATAATTAACAATTTCCACTAACATCAAAATTTCAATATTCACACATAGAATCAGAACAGCATGAGAAATAATAATAATAAATCTTTTTTTTTTTTTTTGAATAACAAACAATAGAATTTTATATATAGTAAGTCATACAAAGGAACAAAGCAAGGTATACAAAATATGATTGAGGTTTGTAAACTTACGTAATATTAAACAGTTTGTGTAGTAATATTTTTTTGATGTGAATTTTAAGTTTGTTGAAGAAGTTGTCCCTCTTTGACCGTAAAAAAATTTTTGTTAGAGAATCAACTGAAATGTTTGCTGGATGAATATAAGTTTTATGGTTGAGAACTTCCACTGTTTATGGTGATTGAATTCAGTGATTGATGAGTGAGTGCATTGGAGTTGTTTCATGTTAATAAATTTTAACTTTGCAACTTCAAAAGTATAAGTGACGTGGAGTAGTTTAGCGATTGGTTATCCGTCACGACGCTCACTGGTAAATCTGTGTTCGTGCATTGTATTTATTTGCATTCTTAGTCACGTGTGAGGCTCGCAAACACATTTCAAGATTTGGTAGTATTTTGTGTTTAAACACGTCTGCGTAGGCGTTGTTACGACTTTGAGATATATTGACCAATCAGAAACAATTATTGTAAAACTTGCGTCTGGAGCCTGGATTGTGTTTAGCTTGCACAAAAATCTACAATTAACACATGAAAATGTAAATTAGAAATGTTTTAATATTTATTGTCCAATGAGGATGTAGTGAACTCAGTCATTGGTTCTGATCCACTGGCATGTAGAGGTTAAGCTCTACAAGTCTGTGAACATTGCATGTGTGTTTTCCAGAAGTAATATATAGCGAGTGGGTGAAAGAAAGATATGAATTTATTATCGTGTAGAAAGCAGGGAGGGTTAGAAGAAAACGGAGAAAAAAAATGCTCTCTCTTTCCACCTTCCCGTGATTCGTGTGTTCTTATTTATATTCCAGCTTTCTTTAAACAAACAATATTTTAAATATTTTTATTTCAACTTTCTTCAGACAATTTTTTTAATGTTGAAGCCAACATCAATAACTGCAGATAAATGTATTTTTAAAATATCTCTACTTTTACAAACTCTTCATGAAACTAAATGTAAACAGTAAACACAACAAGGTTGACCCAACAGGCCACGGGTGGTATCAATTAAAGATGTTTTTGTTTTTTAAAAAAAAAAAAAAAAATGGTAAAAAGAGCATAACAAAAAAAAAAAAAAGAGTATAACAAAATTGTCAGTTTTATATTGAACAAATTTATCTGTTTTTGTGTTTTTTTTTTTTTTTTTTTTTTTTTTTTTTTTATCTCCCCCACATTATAGGTGGCACTCAGCGTTTGCCCAGAATTGTTGGCCCATCCATAGCTAAAGAGTTAATTTTCACAGCACGTGTCATTGATGGTGCACAGGCTGGAAAAATCGGACTTGTAAACCATGCAGTTGAACAAAATGAAACTGGAGATGCTGCTTACCTGAGAGCTGAGGAACTTGCTCGAGAGATTGCTTCACAGGTAATTTGTTCATTATGCACTGATTTTATCGACGGATGCGTATTGCAGGTGCACAGTGGCAAAAACTTTTCTTTTCCTATCTGTGGCACTTCATGATTCTTCTGAATAAAGAAATATTGTTTAAATTCCTGCAATTTCAGGGTACAGGGAAATATATTCTCAAAGTCATTTTGGCATTTCTACAGAAATCCACATCACCAAGAAATAATTTTTTTTTTTTTTTTGAAATTTCTCTTTGAAATTTCTCTTTTATTGAACAAACAATCCACGTGTCTCACACACACACACACACACATAAAAAGAGAAAATAATTTTTTTTTTTTTTCTTAATCAAATTGCTCCAAGCAAGGCAGGAGTCCCACTAGTGTTACAGAATGTAAGAGTAAAGAGGAGTGTTTGGGAAAAGGATAAAGAGAAGGACATGGATCAAGATCAAGGCATCAGAAGATGTCGATTGACATTACATTTGATACATTTTTTATATCTGTCTATATTTCTGAGATGGTATTGTAACTATTTACACTATTTGAACTGTTGTCTTCATCCTTATCCTCACATTTACTGTTGTACACTCCGGCCTTTTTCAGGTAATATTTCTTTAAATTTTGAACCAATTCTAGAATAGTACATTTGTATGTTATCATTTTCAAAGTTTGGTTTGGTGACATTTGTGAAGACATTCTTCCATGCCTATTTCCTGCGATAGGCTGACTTATAACCTTCACGTTCGTGGGTTGCTCAGTAAACTAATATTCAGAAACACCAACATAGAAAATAACTATTCAGAATTTAAATGAAATCACTTGAAGAAAGTCAGAGCGTACAACAGCTGAAACATTGAATGTGGCAATAAAGATGAGGACAACAATGTAAATAGTGTGAATTTTTATATATCAAAATAATGTTAGTAAAACTAAATCTTGGCAGTTCTTTTATTATTACAATGGGAGATACTTAATAAGTGATATAAAGAAAAAGAAACTAAATTTTCTACGCTGCATACCTAAACACATAACATTTTTGAGACTGCATATCTAAACACAAAAAAGAAAAAGATTAAAATTTCTATGTCCCCTCTCCTTCATGCACTTGTGACGTGCATCAACGTAAACATCTCTTCAGTCTGAAATACTACAGAATGCATCACATGAAAATACTTTTCTGCTTTCACTGATTCTCCATATATATATATATATATATATATATATATATAATGTCTATATATGTCATCCACAGACTGTTTCGCTGTATCACAGCTCATAGGTGTGGCTAGACATTCGGTTGCCTCTAGCTAGGATTGAATCCCAACTGAATTCGCGTCAGTTGGGGGATTCTACCACTAAGATGTTGGTGCACGGCAGGGATGAAGGTGAATTTAAGCTGCATTTTTTTAGATAAACACACAGTGACTGAGAGAACTCGATTCGATTTACGGAAGAGTCTTGCAGCATTAGTCATAATAGTCACTGTTTACAAACCCACACTAATATATATGTATATATATATATATATATATATATATATATATATATATATATATATATATATATATATATATATATATATATATATATATATATATATATATATATATATATATATATATATATATATATATATATATATATAATATATATATATATATATATATATATATATATAATATATATATATATATATATATATATATATATATATATATATATATATATATATATATATATATATATATATATAATGATTTTAAGAGTTTGTTTCCTATATAAATTCATTGTAAAGTGATCCCTCTACACAACCAAAAAATATAAGAGGTAAGGGAAATGATGATTTTAATACTGAGAATAATGATACAGAATGGGGCACAATTGATGTTTACTGTGGGAAGCTGTTCAAAAATTGTTCACAATGAAAATAAGAATCTTCTTTAAATTCATATTTTGCAGCTGTTGAGAAATTACTTGAAATTTTGTATATAAGCATTATTTTAACTCGGTGAGGGGGGGAAAAAGTTAAGAATATGCTTTAAATAATATAAAGATTAACTTTTTTATTTTAACTAGAAATTATTTGTATTTTGGTTAGTAAGAATATACTTTGTGGTATGAGTATATTTTTTTTTCCTTGTGCAAGAGGAGGGACATTTTATATTGCAAACTACTCTCCTTTTTAAAGATGAAAAAACTTGATATTTGTCATGTAGAATGTCTAGTTGATAGCAATTTGAAAAAAAAAAAAAACCCCAAAAAACAGATTTTTTGGTGGGAGGTATGTATCTGTAGAAATGAAGTCATTTCTCATGGGTTTCCTTTTACCTATTGTACTCATCAAGCAGGCTCTGTTTGGTGGGTGGGATAGTTGTTTATTTTATACTCATGTCAGTTGTTAGGTTTTGAATATTGATTATTATTATTATTTTTTATTTTTTTTATATTTTTTTTTTTTAAGGCAGGCAGGTCTATTTGACATGGAAAATTGGTGCAGCACAGTATTTCTACCTCTCTTTTCATCCAATTTGACCTTGTACCTGTCCAAGCAATAAATATCTATTGTACCAATAGTATTTTAGTTATTGCTAACAGCTTTTTTAGTTGTATTTGATTTTGGTTTCTGATCAATTTTTACCTTAAATTCTTTCACTTTTCGTTTTTTATTCTTGTAGGGTCCAGTGGCACTGAGGATGGCAAAAGTTGCTATCAATCGAGGAATTGAAGTAAGTAAATCCATTTTCAACTTTCTTCAGAATAAAAGTTGTAATTAAATAGCTGGTCTGGGTATAATGCTAAACTACATCTGGCAGCAAGATTTGGACGTTTTGAGGAGCATGGAACCACCTCTTAATTGTTGTTGTTCCCAAGTTCACACTAACCTGGGGTGGTAGCACTTGTTAGGGTCCTAGCTAGGGACAAAGAGTGAACCACCACAAACAAAAGCAAAACATTATGAAAGTTAAAAAAAAAAATTTTACTTTTTATAGTAAAAATATCAGTAATACATTTTTCTATAAAAAAAAAAAAAAATGACCAACAATACCTATTTATAATAAAATGACCAACAATACATTTTATCTATAGTTGAAGGCATACAATTGCTTTCAAAATATATTTAGTTGAAGCCATAAAATTGTCTTTCAAAACATTTAGATTTCTGCATTAAATAACACATAGAGGTTGATATGCCACTAAACAAAAATCAAGCAACCAACATTAAAGAACACTTTCATGGCATTAATCTGTATAATATTCTACAATTTCTTAAATTGAACTGTATTCCAAAATATAACTTCAACAAAACTACAACATAAAACACATTGCTGCCTCTGGTAATCATGTCTACACAAACATGTATATGTATAAAAGCTAAGGATCATCTATCATGTATTCAATTGTTAAGCAGAATGGCATTTTTATTACTTCAAAACTTCCAAGAAAATTAAATTTTGGCATTAAATAACCTATAAGGAGTTGATATGCCATTAAACAAAACAATTAAATGGCATCTGAGATATCCTCAGATTTGAAAGAGGGTGAAAACAATCTTTTAAAGGACCTACAAACTTCTTCCTCCCATGAGTCATCTATAAGTCTGTCAGTGTCCCTCTGATCTCCTTATTTTTTTTTTTTTTTTTTTTTTTTTTTTTAATTAATGCCATGTCACTTCAGGGGTGTAGGTGGTTATATTTCTCAGCAGATTAAAAAAAAAATTTATCTGTGAATTCCATTCATTTTTAGAAAAGACAGTTGTTTTCTGTTGTCAGCTCCATGGTTTTGTATTTCAGAGTTGTCCTTGTCCAACACTAGCTACTACTCAATGTTAGGGAGCGCAGTCTACTTTGCTATTTAACCCTTAGCTGGGTGAAGAAAAGAGATAGATTCATGCCTTTCCTAAAGGCTTTAGCAATTTACTAAGCATAGCTTAGATGTGGCACAAGGCTGAAAGTACATAGCACCCATTGAGGATTGAACTCATATAATTGATCTGACAAGACAAGCTTGCTAAATGTTAAACCATGTGCCCAAAATGATATTCTATGTGTAGCTTAAATCTGGCACATGGCCAAAAGTATGGAGCGTCCAGTGAAGATTGAACTCCCTACTTGGTTGTAATTGATATAGCAAGACAAGCTTTGCTAACCATTGCACCACGTTGAAATGCAAATTTTCTCAAAAGTATTAGTTCAAACACAACTGACTTTGCCAGAACTTGAATCTGGCTTGCCAATTCCATTTTTCCATGCTGATAACCTTTGCACTACCTGCACAAATACCTTTCTTAGAAATTGGTGAACCCACCTGAAATGAATGCACAAACGAAAACCACAGGAGTTACTGAAGGAATACACAAACTGAAACTAGGAATTATGGAAGATATGGTGTTCTTTTTAATAGTATTCCTTTGTAGCTGGTTGGTCAGAGCATTTATATTGATAAAGGACTCCACTGTATTTTCAAGTATTTTTGGCTAACATACTTTTTACCCTTTAGCCTGTACATCTTGTCTGATGGGAACAGCAAAAATTAAACTAGCCCTGACCTGCAGGAGGGTCCCAACTGCAGGCTATTGTCAGCCACAAAATAAAAATAGTCTCGGCTACTATGAGGTGTGGTTATCTCCCTTGCATTTTTTTTCCCTAACTGTTTGTATTTCAAACATGTTTTTCCCTAAGAAATAGTGCTCTGATATTGCTGTAGAAAACAACTTCACTGGGAGAGGAGGTTGCATTCCTTTGAGAAGATTTTCACCAATTAAATCCTGGTACTTGGTTACCATCTATTGATGAGAGATGGCTAGCTTGGTCCCTTACGGCACTGAATATTGGCTAGTAATATTATTTTAGGGTTTTGAATAGAAGCTCTGTAACTGGTCACAGAGATAGTATCTCAGTTATTTAGAAGTATAACATGAAATATTTCATATATTTTTTTTATAATATACATTATATTATAAATATTATGAGCAGTAATATTAGCACAAGTGGAAATTCCATGGTGTATTTTTTTTTTTTTTGTAATTTAGATATAGAATCTGACCAACTCACTAAACTTTTTCTTTTTTATAATCCTCTCTTGGTCAGTCCAAAAACTTTTCAACACCACTTTCATATCAAGACAGTAGTAGTAGGAGGATGAGGACAAAAGAAAATTCCCATGGTTTTTATTTATTTATATATATATATATATATATATATAATGTGCCAGCCTTCCCTGACTATCCGCTAAGGTGAAACCTTAGTAGGTTTGTCTGGCTCTCTAGGTTTAACTAGGTCTGCTCTACTTACTGTATTTAGTTATTTTGCTTACTTGTATTGTTTTTTTTTTTCTTTGGGCATTGGCCTTGCATGCTAGACGATTATTTTCGGCTAACGTACATGTTCTTGGTTCTTTCTTTTTTATACCTTTTTTCCCTTTGGTGTTGGTTTGATTATTTGCAAATCAAAACATTGAAGGTTTTCCGAACGAGTATAATTTCTTATACTTATAAAATGACTTATATATATATATATATATATATATATATATATATATATATATATATACACACACACACAGTTGTGTATGTGGCCAAATGGTTAGAACATTGGTTTTCTGACTGAGATCTGGGATTGAATTTCATCAATGGTCAATTTGTCAGGAATATGATTTCATAATATCACAAATGATATTATCAACCTCCCTATGTACACACACACACACACACACACACACACACTGGACAGGACTATACTGGGCTAAGTCCAACAATTATTTTAATATATTTTCTGTTTATAAGTTAATTATTTATATCTATAAAAATAATGTATGAACAGAAAATATATTAAAAATATATAATCTTTTTATTTTAATTTATTATAATAAAAATATATTTTGCTCTACTTTGTATTGAGCACTTTTTCTAAAAATAAATGCTACAAACTGTGGATTTTTACTCCATCTGTTCTTTCTCACATTTGTGTGTGTGTGTATAATATATATATATATATATATATATATATATATATATATATATATATATATATATATATATATGCATACACACACAATTTGTCACTTAGCTGATTGGTGTTATCTTCAGCATCCTGACTCCAGATCTTTCTAGATGGACCATCCATCACTTGTTAGGTGGTATCAGCAATTGATGTTCATATTTGTTTTATATATGCACTTTTCATTGGTGCAAGGTTTATTCCCCCCTCCTCCATTGTGTATGTATTTCAGCATGCTCATACACCCACCTGTGGGTATGTGTAGAATGTTGTGATTACTTCTCCTTTTCATTGTTTAGCAACAGTAGTATGGGCTGTGAAAGGTGACACAACACTTATTGGGATGGAAAACTGAATTTGAATTTTGAGATTGATTTATCTCGCACTAATTTTCTTGAGTTCAATAACAGGTTAGACTGGGCTTTCTAACCTTTAGGTGGTAGCAAATTTAAGAAAAAAACATTGTGGATAAAGTAATAGAAAACCACTTTTTCTCAAAATATCATGGCAATTCACACATTAAAATGAAGCTGTGGAGAGCCATGATCATTTAAATCTGGAAGGGAGATAGTATTAAAAAAAATAAACTACCATGACAGAATGTCTCATCACTTCCAGAAATTATTGGATTTGCTTAAACCACACTCTCGTAACTATTGACTTAATAACTTCTAGGTTAGTAACTCATTGTACCTCTTAGTTTAATGTTTTCCATTGACATGAAGTGGAAAGATTATATTGAATCAATTGCTAGGAAAGTTGGTTCACTGTGCCATTCTAGATCATTTTTCTTTCCAGAATCTATCTTACACTTTTATAAGTTTGCCATTCATCCCTGCATTGAATATTACTTTCACATATGGTCTGGTGCTTTTTGTAGTTATGTAGAGATTCTTGACTAAATTCAAAGAAGAAACTGCAATGTTACTGGTCCTGACCTGGCATTTCAGCTGTAGTCACTTTCCCACAGCCATAACATAGCTCTTCTGTGCCTTTTCTATTATGATAATAGAGAAATAAATAAAAAAAAAAAATGACAAGACTAAAATTTCACCATCTCTAAAACTAGACAGCTAATAAAAATTGTCAGACAAACAAAGCCATAGTTTGACCAGAAATTGGAAAGCTTTCACAACCAGGATGTAAAAAAAGAAATAAACAAATAAGGAGACCAAAATTTCACCATGTCTAAAAATAGATGGTTTAACCAATCAATCTGAAAATAAGGCCATGAGTCAATGAGAAGCCAGTGGCCTTTTCAAAGTGAATCTATAGATATGTATAGATGAAATCAACCAAAATCAGAGTTAATAATTTAATTTTCTCCATTCTTTGATGCTAAGGTCATTGTAACACACTCAGAGACAAAATACAATATTTGTACAATTAGTTGGCGAATCACCAGTCCTTGTTACATTGAAAAACATGCTTTTCTTCACTATGTGGTCAAGTGGCACCTACTACGTTTGGATACATACATACACACACATTTTTACTTCCTTTCACCTGTACTCACTCTTTCTCGTATGTGCCAGGATTTTTACACTTTAACTCTTGAAACTTTATTTTATATTTTTCATTACTTTGTGCATTATCTTTTAGTCATTACACAATTATATGGTAAGAATGGACATTGTCATAAGATAAACAATTCCACCATACTTGATAACTGCTATAACCCCTATACTATAAATATTCTCATATTTTTCTGATGAGCTTTCCTTTTTGGTATCTTGACTGCATGAATTTAAGTGCAGTACTAATTTGGCTGTTGGGTCTCATCGTTTTACTGTTGAAATTGCTAGTTGTAAGCATACGTTCTATGCTAAGAGTTTCTTCTCTTGCACTTCTTGCCTGTGGAACTCTCTTTCAGCTTCTTGCTTTCATGTCAATTACGATCTTCCAAAATGTAAATGCAATCACCACTTTCTATCTCCTTGAATCCTGTTCTTTTCTTGTCCTCTCTTCTTAATATTTTTTCTCAGATTCTTTCAATCTCAGTATCCCCCTTCCTTGTGTCTTAGTGGCTTTATTGCCTTGTTTAAGGTGAAATAAAAAGATTTAAAAAAAAAATGTAAGCAACTAGTCAGTTGTTCAGCTTGGAAATATTTTAAGATTTTCCTTTCCAATTTAGTAGGTTAAATAATTTGTAATAATTAAATAATTTATAACCTATATAATAATGAATAGTGTGACTTTTCTGTATATTTCTATGTCTGTAACTTTTGTCATTCTAAAGCAAACAGATATATAACATTAACAAGTGAATCTTGCCTACATTTTAATCTCCAACTTAGAGGTAAGTAGGCAAGTGACATATCCGGCAAATACTACGTTATGTAGAACATTCAAATACTACACTAATCCTGGGCAAAGGTCCAAGAATAAACACTTTGATCCTAAGTGGAGCACACAGTACACTGATCTTTGGCAATAGTATTGAAATTACATTTTGATCCTCATCTGAGCACGTATCTAATCTGATTCTAGGTAGAAGTGCTGCTGACCTGTACATCATTTTTTAGCATGAGCTTGTACCTTAAAACTAAGATTGTAGCAAAGTACAAGGTCGCTAATGTAGAGATCAGCTTGTCAGTATGGATGGCAAGTAAGACTTTTATTTTTCCTCTTTTTATCATGATACTAGCAGCATGGCCCAGCGTTGCCCGTGCTTGATTCAAAAATTGTGTGACTCATACAGCAATTGCTATCACTTGACTTAAAATATTTTTGCTCTTCCTTGCCTTTAAATGAGTGTCCTTTGCCGTGCTGATGTTGCTACATGCCTTACTTCTTGCCTATCTCACACTGCAAATTTTTTCTAAGCTCTATACTAAACATTAAATCTGTTATGAAAAAAGAACTAAACAAAATGAACACAAAACGATCAGCTTTAAAAAAAAAAAGTTAACAGCAAATACTTTTTCACACCCAACCCAGTTCTGTGGAATCAGAATCAAGGTTGAGTTTAAGCAAGTGAATGAGCCAATTGGAGTAAAGTGCCATGCAGATTTAAATTTTTCCCACTTGTGACAAATGCAGTTATCGATTATTTTTTTTTGCATGCTAGTTAACATTTGTGTCAGTCAGCTGTTGTCTCTCACGTTGGCCAATAGAATCTTCCTTCCTGCCTATTTGTGGCAGCCAGCTATTGGCTCTCACTCTGGCCAGTAGAAAATGGCTGCAAACTACATTAAAACTGCTGTAGAAGCATGAAAAAATTGATTATTTCCACTATCGATGGGAGTTGGGAAATGCAAAGTCAGTCTTGGCCTTTCCGCTAACTTTGTGCATGTAAATTTTGGTGCAAATCTGTCAAAAATTGCAGCTGTGCATTCATTACACACATACACACACACACATCCTGCCTTTTATAGATAGAGATGATTACATGTTAATATGTGAGTCTAGTGTTACTTTTAGTAGCGTGTTGTTTGTCTTATTCTTTCAGGTTGATCTTGATTCAGGATCCAAATTTGAAGAAGCATTTTATGCACAGGTGAGTCTTCATTAGTTCTTCTTTTTGCCTTATTTTAAATTTACAATGTAAAGACAGTGTGACAAGACTTTCTCAAAAACCATTTCTGCTGCAAAATTCAGTGACTGTCATTAAATTCTACTTTTGGGGCACTTATGGTATTTTTCATTCATTTATAGCCCTATGAATGTCATTCATTTCTTTGTATCAGAACTGGACTCATTACAAATTGAGTGAGTGAGCATCAAAGGCATCTAAAAGAAAATGGCAACAGAAAGAACACTTATACTCAAAATCAGGAAAAGACAGCTGAAATTCCTTGGACACATACGTAATGAAGACTTGGAAAATTTAACGCTCTCTGGGTTCTGGCAAGAGAGGGGAAAACAGCAAGCCACTTACCTGACAAGCTGGCAGAATTGGGGTGTGGGGTGCTTTGTCTGAACTAGGATAGAAAAACTGACAAGAGTCACAAGAGATAAGAAGTTGAGGAGAGCCATGATAGTCTATGTCCTAAAGGGACACAACAGATGTTTTGAGGAGAACCAAAATTATAATGTAATATTGTAATTTGTCCATTCTCTCCTTTTCTCTATTGTTGGTTGCTCTAGTGTTGTAGATACATTTTCTAGGCTATGCCTTCATATTGAATTTAGAAAAATATCTATTAGTGATACCAGCACATTATTTTGTAGTAACTTATTTGGATTTGTGTCAAACTTTGCTTCTATAAATCTTAAAGAAGACAACCTTTCTTCAGACCTTATAGAATGGTACTGCAAAATCAGAAAGTGCTTTACCAAATAACAAAAAAACACATCAGTTGAAGATTTCCAACAGCAGTAACAACTGAAATGGTGTGCACATATAAGTGGAAAAGTAAATAATGATATAATAAAGATGTTTTTTTTTTTTTTTTTTTTTTTTTTCCACACAACCTTGAAACATTTGGAAGGAAACTCCATCAATACTAGAAAGAGCCATAAATGTGGACTTGAGGAGTCTTAATTTAGTCTATAATTTAAGAAAAAATTTTTATAGATTTCAACTGACAGTAATGAATGTTCGGTTAATTTACCCGCGCTCAATTTGCATTAAAATTTTCAGAATATTTACATTTATGTGTAATTGTACATGCTCCATTTGATTCTGGCTAGATGAATTTGATGAAATCCACCATTTTGGAGTTATCAACAGTGAAAGTTTGGATTCATTTGCCTTGTTGGTGGCAGCCATTATTGCCATTGTTTGCATACATTCACTGCGGAAAGCTAAATGTGGAACTGACCTTTCTTGTCTAAATTTGTTTCAATTACTGCGCACAAGAACTATTTATGTAGACACGCTCAGTTTGTGCAATGATACCTACATTGATAGCTATTCTGCAGTGAATGCATTTTCATTTAAAATATAGTGGGAAGGGAGATAAATTAACTTTTGGTAGTAAGCTCAGTTTGTGCAATGATACCTACATTGATAGCTATTCTGCAGTGAATGTATGCAAACAACACCAGTAATGGCTGCCCACAATGCCAATGAATCTTATCAAATTTATCAAGACAGATTCAAATGGAGAACATACAATTGTAAGTATTCTGGAAATTTTTAATGCAAACTGAGCGTGGGTGTTACACTGCAAATTAACCAAATGTCCAATGTTTTATGCTCACCATTAGCATTATTACATTATCATAATTTAACAGTCAAATTATAATTAAAATGACTGATATTGAGTGAAAGTTTAACATTTTTGCCTTTTGGTAACACGCCAAATCAACAAAATATTGCATATAGTACGTTTTTTAAAAAAAATTAATTTTATTTTTCAGATTATACCCACAAAGGATAGATTGGAAGGCTTGAGAGCATTTAAAGAGAAGCGCCCCCCAAAGTACATTGGGGAGTAATTGAACAAGTTTTTGATGGATGGATTAGTGTGTTTGATAAGACTGAAAAACAAGTCTTTCTTACATGCCATAAATAAGGAAGACATTTTAATTTTCTTTTTCCTCAACCATTCCTGTTTCTGTACAAATATAAATAATTCTTATACCAAACTCTGATCTCTCTATAAGATTTTAATTGAGCAATTTCAGCCATTTGTTTAGCAATTATCAATATAAGTGCTTGATCAAAAGCTTTTGGACAGTTTTTGTGTAAACTAATTACTGACCTACATTAAGTCATGGAAAGAGGAATGGTTAAGTACAATAAATATATGTACTTGTGCTTTTAATCAAATTAATCAGGAATGCTGCCCAAGTACATTGAAAAGGACAATCTTAGAAAAGTAATGAAGATAAAAGGAGAGAAACCTGTAACTATATAGTTTTGTTTGTGTGTCACAGTTCATCAATTTACCCAGTTGAGATAGATTACAATATTTGTCAGCCTGTTGGATGTACACAGATTTTGACATGGAATACTTAAGGAAAAAAATGCACACATCACAACCAAAAATAATAAAAATTATAACCTTACACATGTGACATTCTCAATAACCATGAAGAAACACAATATTAGTACAACTTTACTATTGGTACATTTTTTTTTATTTTTATTTATTTATTTATTTTTTTTTTTTGTAGAAGTGTGGTATGGTTTATTTACCAGGATATTTTTTGGAAAAGAAGAATTTTAGTACATTTCATCATGCATTTATTGAAAATTGTTTTAGCTGTTTTTCAGGGAGCAATATTTGCACATACACCAAATTCATACTACAAAGTAAGCAGCAATATACCAGTCAAAACAAATATTTGTGTAAAATCTGGTATTTTTACAAAAATATTGTGCAATTCCATAAATTTCTTGATTTCTTTTTCCTGGGTGAGTTTTTCAGGCTTATTATTGATATCAAGTTTGTTCACTTTCAGATGTCCTAGTTTCAGAGCTAAGCTCTGTGTGTGTGTGTGTGTGCTGCTCAGATTTGTTTTAAAATTGTTAATAAGGTTGTTAGTGAGGATGCTTTTTTAGTGAGAGCACATACATTTAAATTTGCAAAGAACACAAGGAAAGAAGAACAAGAGATCAAATTGCATTCAACAATAAAATATATTTTGAAAATCAACGAGTACAACAATTGTGCTTATGTATTAATATTTAGGGAGAGAAAAGTAGCTTCCCTTGTGCTGATATCTGACGCAAGATAGGAATAATGTACTTAAGAAATTTCTTGTTGAAATGTTCAGAGTTTAGTGAATAAGATTTGAATTCAAGAATGAAAAGTTTGTACAAAATGGATAATAGAATTTGGTTTGTGACTTGGCTTGTGACACAGTTAACAGTGTAGTGTAATGGTAGTTCTGTGTGTGTGTGTGAGTAGAAGAATGTAGATACGCGTGTGTTGCTGAGTTCTGCTGATTTATTGTTTTACTAACTTATTTCTGGAGTACGAACTGTTTAAATACTTTTGGGGTAGGCTCCAGAGAGAAGTGGGGAAAAATATGGAAAGGAATATCTAAAATACACGATTGGATAAAAATTGACCAATCACTGATTTTTTTACAAAACCAAGTTAGGCAAAGTCATGGCAGAAAATTTTGTGTGGTTACTGCGATAGGTAAATTGTCCTGTAGTAAACAGTACTTATTTTCTATCCAATTATAACTGACTATTTTGTGGGCGTGGTAACTCAGAGTAGTCACTACATGTGCACTAATTCCTGGTGAATTCCACTTTTTTTTCATGGTCTTCATGTCCCTCTCCTACATGATACTGTTGTATTGGAGGCAGGGTAATTTTTTGCTGTATTTTTTTTTTTTTTTTTTTTTTTTTTTTAAATTCTATGTCCAATGGGATGGCAAATACGGTATTTTTTTAAAATTTTATTTCCTGGGGAAGCGATTGTATAATCTAATTTCTCTTCATATCTTTTCATAACTACTGATCGTTGATTACCTCCCTTGAAACTAAAGACATTTCAGGTGAATACAAATAGATTATAGGTATTGCCTTGCTCCAGAGATAATGTCCTTTAAGATGGCTTATCTGAAGAACGTTATTCTGAAATAAAAGAAGGTAATGTAAAATTAGTCAGCATTTTTAACCAGACAAATTAGTATTAACTGCCTACAAAAATTCTATAGTGGTGACTCTCACCCACTTTTGCCTATACATCCATTTTAGAATATTATTCTTTCATTCCAAGATTCTCTGACTCTTGCAATTCAGTAAAATGAAAGATCAACATTCTAGCATCTTAAATCTACCAATCATTGGTCTTAATTTCTTCCTTATCTCTTTGCATTCTGGTTAAGAACCACTGCTCTATAATATTAACTTTTTTTTCTTCTACCTGGACTGTGAATAAACAATGATGGTTATTAATGCTAAAAATGGAACCTATGAATATTCAAATTCCACTCAACAGCTGTGTCTAAAGGCATGTGTCTAACCATACCTTGTTTTATGTCCTGTCAATACATGACTGGCATTTCACAGTTAAGGATTCTACCTTGTCACTGGAACCATGGATAGCTGTATGATACTTTTTTTCATTTTTTTGTTTTTAATTGAGATAGGAACACTTAAGTTAATCACTTATTTATTGAAATCTTATAAAATTCTGACTTTTCAGTTTAGAATTATACTTCAATGACATTCTCTGCTTCATATAATAATGTAAATGAGAAAAAAAAAACTTGCAACAATTTCTCAAGTCGCATAGTTTTTATTTAATCTGATGATAAAAATTTGATAAAGTGTCAAGGATGAAAGATAAGTTACTTTACAATGAAGGCATGCACATATATAATGTTTGAAGTGGAAAGGGTTGGGTCAACTGTATAATTATCTAAATTTATAAAATAACAATCATAAAAATGATGAACTGGGAAAGTAGAAAAAAATTTGCAATTTCTTTTGTAATTTAAAAAAAAAAGAAAAATACCATGCCCTGTTTGTATAATTATTAGTAGAATGTTTTTTTTTATTTTGAGAAATAAATGCAATTTTCCCTGTTTTTTTTTTTTAAAAAAAAAAAATAAATGAAAACCTATAATGTGAATAAAGAAATTTAATCAAATTATTTTCCTTAACTGGTTTTCGACTGGATTACTTTCACTGAGTATAAAGGGAGATATGTAAAGTAAGCAAAAAATCTGTTGAGATTGGGTGGGGAGGAAACACCTGATTACTGGTCCAACAACTATGGGGATATTAGACTTGAGGAACAAAATGCACATGGAACCAACTTCACAAGACACCTTATCTTACTGACTTGTTATTTCCCCCCTGCCCCACCCCCTACGGCTTTTACTGGCATGAGGTATCTTACAAAGATCCAGATCTTGACCAGTTGCAGAGAGGCCTGTATCTAGATATGCCAAGCTGTCCCACTGTTAACTGGAAAAAAACCAGGATGTAACTGCTGTTGACATTTCCTTTTTTTTTTCTCCAAAGACAACTTTAGGAAAACTAAAATTACAGAGGAAACTCTCTGACATGTTAATGAATCATGTGGGCACATAAATAAATTTTTTTTTTATTTAAAAAGGGGGATATTTTAAACAGCACATATAACAATTAAATAACTAGTAAATAAAATTTTCATGTGTAATTATAGTTTTAACTAGCAGCGCTGCCCGTGCTTGATTCAAAAATCGTATGACATACAGCAATCGCTATCACTTGACTTTTGCCCTTCCTTGCCTTTAAAGGAGTGCCCTTTGCCATGCTGATGTTGCTACATACCTTACTTCTTGCCTATCTCACACTGTGAATTTTTTCTAAGCTCTATACTAAACATTAAATCTGTTACGAAAAAAGAACTAAACAAGATGAACACAAAACGATCAGCTTTAAAAAAGGACTCAGAATTGAAAAACAAATGAAAAAAAGAATGTTAACAACAAATACTTTTTCTCACCCAACCCAGTTCTGTGGAATCATAATCAACGTTGAGTTTAAGCAAGCAAATGAGCCAATTGGAGTAAAGTGCCATGCAAATTTAAATTTTTCCCACTTGTGACGAATGCAGCTATCGATTTTTTGCATGCTAGTTAACATTTGTGTCAGTCAGCTGTTGTCTTTCACGCTGGCCAATAGAATCTTCCTGCCTATTTGTGGCAGCCAGCTATAGGCTCTCACTCTGGCCAGTAGAAAATGGCCGCAAACTACATGAAAACTGCTGTAGAAGCATCAAAAAATCGATTATTTCCACTATCAATGGGAGTTGGGAAATGCAAAGTCAGTCTTGGCCTTTCTGTTAACTTGGAGCATGTGCATTTAAATTTTGGTGCAAATCCGTCAAATTGCGGCCATGTATTCGTTACACACACACACACACACACACATGCGTCCTGCCTTTTATAGATAGAGATAAATTATCCCTATGGTGTGTAACCTTTGCCTCACTGTGTTTGTGTGTGTGTGTGTGTATATGCATGTATATATGAATGAATGACTCTCCCATCGTGTTCGACATATGAGGGTCAAGCAGCTCAGTTACTAGGAACCGACAGCCCGGACACCAGCACATATGACTTGATTATAGTAGTGAAGGTTTTGTGCAGAACCAATCACACCTTTTTGATGTGCCAAATACAGAGACCTGTTGCACTATGTGACACATGGTCCCCAAACTTCCCTCTGCAGGTTTTGAATTCAGAGTTGTCCTTCTCCTAGACTATTTGCCATCCAAGGCTATAGAACCCAGTCTGTCTTGCTATTTACCCATATCTGGAGGGATAAGAAGAGTCATACCTTTCCCAAGGGTATCAGCATATAAGGGAATTTAATGGATTCAACTGGAATTGTATATATAGATATATATAGTGAGTTCAAATGATTCCATGTTATTTATGGCTAAATCTTGAAAAGATCTAGATGACCAGAGTCTGCTCGAACAGCTCAATGAGGGAAAGACTGACTTGTATCATTCTGTACCTCCACAACAAAGTAATGT